CATTGTCAAGTTGAGCTGAATTGACTACATATTTCTGAGGATTGACAGTTTTAAAGGTGACTGGCCAACAATTGATACTGAAAAAAAATGTTTAGGCTCCTGAATTATAAAAAGACTTAACCCCACTCTTTTTATAATTTGAATGTTAAAGTTAATTTCTGAAGGATATTTGATATTATTTATGGGCCATGTGAATTATTTATCATTCATGTGAAGTGAGTTATAAAACTGAAAGGAATTCATAATAGCAAAATGTTAACTTATTTTGACTTTCACTTATTCAATCAAAATATACACTTGGATGCACATAATGTCACTTTAAGGTAAAATATTAACAATTCACCATCAATTTTCAATGTAAAACATGTAAAATAGGTCATGTTGCACCGGAAATAGGATAAATCTAACATAAACGTTTCATACATAATAAACATCATCAATTTACAAGACTATACAAGCTCTTATTTTAAACCACTCAAGTAGGTCAAATGATAAAAATGTAATATATAGTAGTGTTTGTGGTTTAAATCTGTAATAAAATTTCTGTGTAAAATATTTATCTTTATATGCAATTTCTTACACTTGATGTCAATTTTCACATGACATCAGATAAAAATCAACCTAGTTTACAATAAAAAGGAATGCTGCTTTAATTGCCATTAAAGGGAGATGACAATCTGTTTTTAAATATATAAAAATCAGACAGGCATAACATTTGATGTTGTATGTTATACAATTGTGAACAAAGTTTTCTATTCCCAGGGATGTCAAATTGAATATCACTCTAAAAAAGTCAAGTATCTACTTATTATCTAAATTGTTTAAACATAATTTTGAATAAGAAAATGTTGCTTATTAATAAATGCATGTCTCATGGCAGTTTATTTAAAAAAATATCAGTCTATCCATATTGATAATTTGTACCACATTATTTGTTTAATACATAAATATTTATACAAAATGTGACTATACAGGGACCATTTAGCTATACCTGCGCAGGTCCGTTTGGAACTTTCTGAGCCGTCTGATACACCTCGCGTTTTGCTTCAAGCTCCTCTTTTCTCTGATCCGGATGAGGATCGCACTGGGGTAGCGACGTATCTAAGTGTTCAATAAGATAATGATAATCTGGTCTAATCCACCGGAAGACCGGAAATATGTATATGTCATTCGTTTTTCTATTTTCAACAACAATTTTATCCACATACCAGTCGGCACCTAGTCCAGCATTGTCTCGCCAAAATTCCACCCGACAAACATGCCCATCAAAATTTTTTATTTTCAAATCTTTAATAGGAAAAACATCCAACTGACCACTTTCAAAATCATTACGAAAGAAATTATCTAAAACTAAATCATCAGTGTTATTCCCATTTTTATCATGCAGTTTAATCTTTACATTAGCATCTGTACCAGCATGCTTCTTATCTCCAGTCTTTACATAAATCACAAATTGTGCATTTTGCACACCTAAACAAGCACCCATTGTTTTATTTCAAATCCTGTCACTTAAATTTAACTCATTTAATCCATAATTCCAATAACTATGAAATATTTGTCAATTTTTTTTTAAACGTCAATAAATCAATCAAAATTCCGATAGGTAAAAGTTTAAGAGCATACACTGTAGTACACAATTCAAATACAGTTGACAAAATACAAAATGACATGCGCTTTTATCTTATCTAATATGTACAACAACAGTCCAGAGATCTCGATACTAACTCCGCCTATTCACTGTAATACTGTTTCCAATACTAATTTTGCGGACTTTATAGTAATAATGCGTTTATCATACTACCGTAAAAGTTCGTGTTTACGATAAAAGTCGGCGTCCTTTAGAAGTTTTGTCAACTTTAAAATCGCTAGACCATGACGCGTCACAGGTGTATTTATAGAGTAAATTTTACACACAGGGACTTGTATTTTAGTTAAATGAAATAGTATATTGAATTGAATTGTTGTCAAATAAAAACGAATTTATTTAAACGTAGGAATATAAATTTAGCGTGACTGTTCAAACGTACATTAAAAGGGACACTACTGTATATTAGTTAAGTCTGGTAATGTTATACGTTGTTTTTGTTTGTTTTGCGATATTAAAATGGGATTTCATTTTAGTTGAAACAAATGGAAATCCTCTGAATTCTCTTCTTTTAAAACTTTTAAGTTAATTGATCTTTAGTGCAATTTATATTTTGACATACACATGTATTAAATTAATATAGCATATTCGATGAAATTAAAGAAATGCAATTAGAAATATATAACAGTCAAATATATATAGATATATAAATATATCATATTTTATTTGATGTTTAATTATTTGCGTCATTAGTGTAGGTTAAAGTTTAAAAGTACGTATAAACTATAAATGCTGCAAAACTACTTAATAGATTGCTTTTCATTTAGCCATTTAAGCTATATCTTATTTAATCATGAACTCACGTCACCAACGGAACTTTCTCATAAAACAGAACAGAACAGAAGATTCTTCGCAATTTAATGGTTACGATAACTTTATAAATAGAAATAGAGTGAGGACAGCCTTTTTATATTTAAGCCAGGTTTTATATTTTAGTTTTATCATTTGTCATTATCAATTATTGATATATCACCATGTAATTGCCTATCTTTGGAAGTATATAGCTTATTATTGTCAACATGACAACAACAAAAAATGAGTATAATGTCACTATCAAACTTTATCATGCTATAAAAGTGTAAAATGTAATTTGACTAAGCGTCTAAATTTCAAATGCTCCATATGTATTATAAAACCTTTCTTGTTTACAAACAACTATAATATACGTAAATGATTTTTTTGTTCGATTTTCCGACGTTCAGTTGTTTTTGTTGTTGTTGTTTTGTTTTGTTTTTCTCCAATAAATTCTCTTGAAAAGAGCTATATTTTGTGAAACTTCAAAACGGTAACATTTCCCAATCCAAAATCATACTTAATCTTAAAATGCACGTGCAACTTTTGGTTCTGTTTTTTGACGCTGGCGGCGCAACGCGCACTTTCAGCCAATATCAAAGACCATGTCATCTCAGAGGCGCAATTTTGTTTTAACAAACAAACAAGCATAAATAAATAAAATAGATAAGTAAATAAATAAAATAAATTAAAGCTCATCGTTCTTTCCTGTAGTAGACCAACTCGCGTTATTTGTTTCTTTTATTATATATTGAATTATTTTAACTTACTTATTGTTTCATCTATCTTGAATTAATTTAAGTGTGAACATGACATAATGTGGGATAAATAGTAAAGAAGAATCTGCTATGGGAAAAAAACTGCGTCTTTAGTTAATGATATAATGTTATTTAGTAAATAATGTCCCATATATAGACTTGTAAATTAATAAATGGACAACTTATCTACTCTTAAAATCAAATTAACATTCATTGAGAAAGTTATGAATGAAAATACAACAAGGTAAAAAGTAGGACGAATATTTTTAAAATGGTAACCGCAAAGTATTTTATAACAAATAAAGTAGGATGAATTGATGGGTATTTGTCATAGTTGGGTACATCAGCAAATCTATAAATAGTAACATATTACTCGTGGGAGGAAATTGAAACATGCCCTTTTTAATTCATGTTGAATTGCCCGAACATCACGTTTTCTAAGTTTTATTGGCTGACTAGGCGGATACAAAAATTCCTATACGGAACACCTTAATAGATGTACAGCAGATACGGTTCAGTGACGCACCGTCCTTAATGTGGAAATAAAATCTGAAAACAAGTTTTATTATGGGAAGTCGTAAGCGATTCGATAAAAAAAAGACTCGTATTTGCGGGTGGCGAGAGGGAACCTTCTCGAAAATTAGTATTGTTGCCCGTTATATCTGGGAAGTAGTAATTTAACGTCTTCCCAGATTACATGGATAACTTCAATTTAGCAACGCAGTGATATAGTAAATTAAAATAATGGACCACGATATTTAGTATGTCTTTAGTCTAAAATTAATAAAAAAAGTGAATCCGTTAAATAACACAAGTTTTCTGCATATGTGAACCCAATATCACGATAAAAAAGAACACACGTGATGATCATGTAAGTTCATCATCATCATAATCATCATTATCATTATCATCGTCATCATTACACGTAATGGTAACATCGTCACGTTATAAATGCTTACAGATCTAGAGCACACATTTAATTTATAATTGATTTTCTCTTTTTTTCAGGGAAGTTAAATTACATATGTCGTCCTTAAAATCAGGTCAAAATCTGGGGGATATATAACCAGTTTCATATAACAATATATCTAGTAACATATGTCACTATATAGATTATAATCTATAACAGAGAGTAAATAAAAGTCTCTGTCTATAACAACTTGTTACGCAACCTGATACATACATTACAGAAACATATAAAATACGCTAGTTTGCATGTCGATCATTCTCTCATCCCCCCTGTATGTCAGCGTTAATTTGTACCTGTATCATCAAACAAAATATCTTAAACTAGTTGGTAATGTTACATCAACATTCTTCACCTTGCCCCGTGGCGGGAAAGCAAAGGCTGATCATTGTGAAGTCATTCTACTTTCAACAAAACTAATCTTTTCCCCCCTTTACACCTTTCATAGATCATTATCATGCCTTTCTGTCTTTATTTGATATTTTTATTGACTGTACTCATTTCACTTGAAATATATGTTTAGATACTAATATTTTTATTAAGAAAAACTCTTCCTTTTGCTTTAATTATTTGTATGAAAATTAAAAAGTAATACCATAAGACGAGGGTTCAAATTTGTCTACAAAGAATGTAATACCAGTATACACAACGGTTGATTAGAAATATGGTAATTGCTTGATATTAGAATAATATCATAAATACACTTAGTACTCCTTTCTAAGTCTGAATGAAATTTATGCTTCGTTCTCTAAGCTCACATTTCCAAGACTGAAACAGTTAAACTCCCAAAATTTGATGATGTGTGGTAAACTTTGCCTAAGCAAAGTTCCATATCCAGTCAATTTAGCAATATACATTGTAATTTTAGTTAACGCACTGTGCACGTATATGTATACGATTTAACTCTGACACATTTTCAACAGAAAGGTCCCAAACTATGATACAACATAAAATATCAAGAACAATGAAAATGGTCATTGTTTGGTGTGTTTTTTTCTTCACCCCTGGTCTGCAGATAAGCCTTTGCTTCCAGTATGATCAATACTGCTGGTAGCTAAATTTTAATATTTTAATATTGAAATCCCTTGCAATTTGTATTGACTGTTCTAAATTCAAAATTTGGGCAAATCCATTACACATTCAGCAGTTAAATGGTTAATTAAAACCATGTCTGGATAGGTCAGTGAATGTATGCTGTTTTATATATTCTATGGTAAATCTAGTCGTGTATAAAACAGATTTAAGCTTTACTAGATCACAGAACACTTTTTGACTACTAGTGTTTAATTATGAAGATGAAATGAAAGATGGGTTACTTTCTGTTTGCATGTAAGAAACAAACCAGATGCCCTGAAGAATCGTTATTAGATGTATCACAGGTGGTAGCTAAAATGAGGCTGTGTACAATCTTCGGATTATTTCCCACCCCATCCCCATCGACCGTTCGTTTTCATGTATAACATGAACAAATTGTTAAAAATCAGCAGTAAAAACACTAAATTTCTTTGTCATTGTGACCCTTCTAAAATGCGTTACTTCTGCATACCTTGCACATCAAACTACCATGGCAACCGTATAATAATGAACAACCATCATGGTTCGGAGCTCTATGTGCAATATTTACCGTTTAAATTGCCGTGAATTATTATTGAGCCGCGTCACGACAAAACAAACATAGTGCGTTTGCGACCAGCATGGATTCAGACCAGCCTGCGCATTCGCGCAGTCTGATCAGGATCCATGCTGTTCGCTTACAAACCCTATAACAAGTAGAGAAACTGATAGCGAACAGCATGGATCCTGATCAGACTACGCGGATGCGCAGGCTGGTCTGGATCCATGCTGGTCGCAAACCCATTATGTTGGTTTTGTCATGGCGCGGCTCATACATCTTGAATTATCTCCAATCATACCTGACTAGGTGCTCCTTCAAAATGGGGCCCAAGTTCATACTTTTGTCTTTTGTCCTCTAATTCCATCTTTCTTTGGTCTGTGTACGGTTCTGTTTGCGGTAAATTGGTATCATAGTTAACAATCTTATATTTCGTACCGGCTTTTATCCATCTAAACAGAGGGAACTCGTATAACTCCTTTGCAGACGTCATTTTTGTAACCTTGATGTAGTCAACGTACCAGTCATCAAGGATACCGGCGTCGTCCCGCCAAAATTCTATGAAATCGACAGACGACAAATTTTTCTGGCGCTTGAAATCAAAATTGTCCAGTTGACCAGTTTCAAGATCATTTCTAAACATGCAATCCAGGAGTTTTTCTTCCGTAGAATCACCATTGTTGCAGTGCAGTTTTATGTAAACGTTAGCGTCAGTTCCGCTGAAAAGTCTATCTCCAGTTTTTACGTCAATACTATATGTGACGTCACCCATATTCGCGTGATAAACAGACGTAACCGTGAATGACACTATATTATTATAAGCTTGTGTAAATTTCCAAGTTACTACACTTCTATAACTTATACAAATTTTATATTGTACACACTAATATATACATGTATTTCAAAATATCTTTTGTTTAATTCATAAAATTTCCTTTCTCGAGTTTTGTTTAAAGTACGTTGTTTCTGCTAACGTACTTATTTATTAAAGGTTTAAAGTCCGGGTAAAACTTTATATGTCTCACTTCAAATTTCTTTCAGCCAATTAAAAATCAACATCCGTTTTGTACGATGGAACACGCGCGTATATTAGATAACATGCTATTTTATCTTATAAACCTTATTAGCATGTTTTGAAATATTCTTGATAAGATAGCTTTACAATAAAACCGTTCTTAAATACGACACGACATTACTCAGTTATTACAATTCACATATGATACATAGCACTAGAACAATCTCGATTTCTCGAGTGCCAAATTTGAGTGCCAAAATTATTTTTTCATTATATACATTTCACTTCTCAAAAAATCTCCTTTTTTCTGTAATTAATTGTATAGATGTATTATAGCAGCTATCGAAACAGCTTCGTCTGACATCAATTCCTACTAAACGAGGATAATTAAATAAAACACACACTCGTGAAAATCGAAAGTAAAACACATCATTGGAATTATAAGTCCATTAAATAACAGTGGCAACTTTCGTGTGTATATTAATTAGAGAAACGGAGGATTAATATTATCCTTGACGCGTGAAAATGTTCAATATCAATAGTAATACCTGCAGAATTATAGCAAATTCTTTCGATATTAATAACACGTTTACCGTCAGGTTTCAAGAGTATGTTTCCATAAAACAGACTTATGTGATATCAAACTTTTTCCTGCATAGGTCAATGAAATATCATGCTTCATTACCAATGCAGCTGTTTGTTTCATTTTTTTAGAAGCGTCTGTTTATTATGTATTGAAAAGAAATGCTGGCTGGAAAACAACTGTTTGAATATCTTCAACTACTAACTATTTTTGTAACTTAAAAGTGCAATTATGCACATTTTAAGATGGTTTGGTCATGATGGTATGATTTTTTGCTTTTTTAAACGGTATGATGTAATCTTTTTTATATCAAAGATATTTGATATGATATCCTTAAAATAAAGGTATGAACTCATACCAATAGATCCCAGTATTATAAAAGGATGAGATTAAAAGAAATTTAAGGTAAAAGTTGCCATAATATTCTGTAACTACATAAAAACCACTTTAGTGCCTGGACAAGACACAGAGATGTTCGTCTAACCGCTATTTTCCTACTGGAATTGCTTACTTGCAGAGGGTTTCAAAAGTGAGTATGTGCATTTTCAGCTGCAGTTTAGTTTACAATAATTTCAATAAATCAAGCATGCATAAAATTATCGTAAACTAATTAAACACGTGTTTAGTCTAATTTAATTTCAATTTAAACAAGGCTATTAACGAATGACAGGTTCTTGAGCTAATCAGGTCTTTTTTCTCTAGTTGGTTACTTCTGGAAATTCCTGTAGATGTTGCGGAAAAATATTTATAGCATATTTGTTTGCCGGTAGTTTTGAAACTAATTAATGGGCATATTTCTACAAAATAACCCAAGAAATTCCGATAGTGCATAAATGACACGTTCCAATAATAACCAGAAACCAATTTACAGTAACATCCAAATGAAGTATAATAACACTCGTGTTATTTTACAGTAACATCCCGATGGCATGTATCATTTAACAATAAAACCTTTACCCTATTATTATATTAACCATGGAATTGCTATGCAATAAAGTAGCGATATTCAGGAAAAGTTACCCAAAAATCGTTCCGACAGGTATAGATCCTTACTCTTTTATTGGAATAAAAACAGATTTAAACACAAACATTGACATGTATTCTTTTGTTTACAAAAACATTATAAGCTGTGCTGAATTGCACTTATCTGATCATTTGATTTAGACAGATTAGGGTCTTTTATATAGAGAGAGATATATCAATAGTAAGTGTTGAGATTTGTTACATTTCAAACGTTATTATATGAAATGCGTTGTTAGTGTGTGTCCAACATTACATGTATAAGCCTAAAGTCATTTAAATAATGTTAATGACTTCACAGATAAAATCAGATTTTACCAATTTGATGGCAACGAAAATATGACACTGAACATGTAACTCGAGTTTTGTTAAAATACGAACCGCGGTATACGGTTATATTTATATTGACAATTACTCCTACTTTTTATTTAAAATGTAAATCAGACAAGAAATAAACCTGAATTGAAAGTTAAAGCTCGACATTGCAAAATGTTGATTTTAAATGGCATTTGGTATTTACCATTATTGCAAATAAACATTCTGATATGAGCTGAAGGTTATTTTCTTTTCGGAACTTGGCCTTTAAGAGAGGTACTACAGTATAATTTAATTACCTGCGCCGGACCACCTGTAATCTTCTGGCATACAATATAACTGTCTCGTTTTCGTTTAAGTTCATTCCATCTTTGTTCAGCTTCCGGGTCTTGCTGAGGTAAAGAAGTGTCATTTACCCGGAATATCAAATGTGTTTTTGCAGGAATCCATCTAAATACCGGAAAAGAATATTCCGTATCTTTATCTTTTCGACGGACTTTAACATAGTCTAAATACCAAGCACTTCCAAGTCCAAAATTATCTCTCCATAATTCCAATTTTTCAATATTTCTGATTTTAAATTGTTTTTTCACAGTAAAATTGTCAATTTGACTTCGTTCAAAGTCATTTTTCAGTATATTCCGCAGTTTCATTTTATCAGTTTTCCGTCCTCCATCACCATGCAATATGACCTTAACATTAGCATCAGTGCCCGCGTTCTTACGGTCCCCGGTCCGTACTGTGAACACGTAATCCACGGGGTCCATTTTGTTTTGTTAAGATGTAACTACTGGCTGACCTTTTTGTGTTTGTATAGTGAATTTATGATGAATCAATGGTACACCTTCCTAGGTATTTATTTCGTGACACTTTTAAAAATTTGACCACTTGATTTATAAGGTAACGATGTCTAGTTAAAACCCACTTATCACTTCGTAGCCTTTGATATTGCTATAACGGCCCCTGGTCACATCACGTCCATTAAGAACACCGAATTATTGTTGCTAGGGTACGTACATTGTCCATTTTAAATCTATGAATTCCAAAGAATATACCTATTAAAATTTAGGATATTTCACACAAATTTTTATGACCTTACAAACATATTTTTATTGACGACAAACAAATATTTCTTTACCCCTAAGTTTGCTATGATAACAACTATGTCAATATGTTAAGCATAATCCAACAATACAATAATTTTAAAATATATCGTCCTTTAGACGTTAATATCCTATATTTACTAAAATACACCACGGATTTACAAGAATATACACGTTTTTTATTGACGATTTCTTTTCATTAAATCTAAAGTAAATATGCACTTGTCATACTCTGTATTTCATAAATAGTAGTACGGTTGAAGAACGTAAAATGTAAATACCAGTGCATTATTAAGGAAATTTGAAACCACCTTCCATTGTGTTGAGTTCACATCTTTGAAGGGAATTTTTATTTATATTATTACCAACAAACGGACCATATATTCACTGAAGTGGAAAATATATACATAGTTATTACCATTTTTAATTCATCTTCTTGTCATTGAAATAACTATACTTTTACTGCCGGTGTTATATTATATATACACAGCAACCTAAAAAAAATATTCAAAGGCCTAAAGCTAATAACTTTCATTCAAGCCTAGTACATGTAGTATATAGTTATATATTCAAAAAATTAGTCTGCGTATCGCGAGAAAATAGAAGGAGAGAAAAATAAAAAACAAACACAAACATATTAGTATTAAACAATGACTAATTTTTCTGCAGTTGGAAATTCTAAATTAGTAATTGTATTATTAAATATTGTATTTTTTGTGTATATATATCATATGACATACAGGTCATATAATCAGAGAAACTTGAAAACGTTAGTCACGCTTTATGTTAAAATACTATTAGAAAAATTTCATAATATTTTATCTTTTTATACTATTCACGTGCAAACACTTTATTATTCCTGCAAGGTTCGCGAAAATTTTGCTTTTTTTATTAAGAAAAAAAAAACACACAAAAAAACAAAACAACCTTTAATGCTTATCTCGAGGCAACTACAGTAAGTATGCTAAAGTGAATTCTTGAAGCGGTACTTTTGGGTTAATAGTATGACATTAACATAAATTCTATAATAGGGTTATGGCATCTAATTTCTCGAGTGATCAATCGAGCGGAGCTCACTGAATGATACTCAATTTTCATTTAACAGGAAGCTTCAATCGGATTGTCCTCGGCATTTATCTATTATAACCGTATCCGAAGACTGACGGAAGGGGTCGAAAAGTTGCGATTGCTAAAGCTTGTGCTGGGGGTGCGATGTGGAGGTCAATGTAGAGGAAGAGTTGCGCCTAAAAAAGCCCAATCAAACTGAGCCTGCAAAATTTTGAATTTTGCCGTTGGTGGGCGTTCTTTAAGTTTTCACTTTTACCAATTTAATTGATTAAATTGTTCAACTTATTGCAAACTTATTGATAATCGTATTACAGATGAGCTCTGACTTATGCGTTTATCTTGGCTATAAGTTTCATGTAAACAAAAAAACAGATAGCCATACTATCTAATGTAAGCATGTTACTTACATAAATTAGCATAATAGATTATTTAAATAAGCGGGACGACCATAAGGTAATGTAAAGGCAAAAGCCTATTCGTGACAAGGACATTGTCTAAACGTAGATTAGTGGAAAATGAAATGAGCCGCGTCACGACAAAACCAACATTATGGGTTTGCGACCAGCATGGATCCAGACCAGCCTGCACATTCGCGCAGTCTGACCAGGATCCAAGCTGTTTGCTTACCAACCCTGTTACAAGTAGAGAAACTGATAGCGAACAGCATGGATATATTTATGGTACATGTATGCGTTATTTCATGTAATACTAGTATTTCAATAAGAAATCACGTCATTTTATGCTGACATTTATTTGATTGCAATGCATATCCTGGTTAGTCAACAAACAATGAAACAAATACAATAATATGGAAAATATCTGACTGATATACTAGTAATTGAATATCCAATCGAAAGTGAATTATATTGTTTTTACAGGAAATTTTAAATATCCTGACAATTAATTTTACATTGTTACTTGAATTATACAAGTGTTGCATAATGAAACTACTATAATTCAGATTACACGATGCAGCTTGAATTGTTTAAAGCTGCATGCAGATGAGCCAAAATATTTCAAGAAAATCAAACTTGCGGAAAATGTACTTAGATTTTATGAAAATTAAAAGGATTCAAGTAATAATTTAATGTTAGGTGCAATTAATGCCTGATACAGAAGTATTTACGAGTATTTCAATATTTCCACTATGAGCGCAGTATATAAGGACTATTTGTGCATATTTTAACCTCTTTGTTTTGGGTAATTTACGTGGATTGTTAACGCCGTTCATGCAGCTTTAAGATTCTTGGTCATATAACAATATATTTAACAAAATAACCTTATTCATATAAGTTATATTATTTCATTCATCAACAATTATCGAGTTTTTTTTATATGCCATCCGGGTTTTCCGGTGTTGCGAAAACTGGTTGTAGGAAAATTTACGGAAATGAAACTGGCAACTATAAATTAAATATAATGTAACTTGTAGGGTTATATTAACAATGATGATTTTCTGTTTCAAAGATTATCGTGACGTTCATACAAGTAAAATCAATATAGACGACTATTGTACATATATAGAAAAGCTCTACGGAGGTAAAAAAACCAACAAAATAAAACCTGAATTTCTTTTACAGATCAAGACTTAGTTGTGCACTTAAAATGAAAAAAAAATCTGCAGAAAGATAATGAAGAAATATACTCAGAGTAGAATTGAAAATCTTTTTTTTGCGCGCGATTTTTAGCCGGTTTTGAGTGAAAAAACGTTGCAACGCTTTTCATTTCTTGTCATTTTGCACAATAAAAGTAAATATTGTAGGAAAACGGAGCGAGGGAATGATCTGATATTTTCACACAAGTTATTAGTTCAGACTTTCATGATTCTCAAATGTACAAATGTGTACGAGTTTTAAGTGGCGAGACAACCTTAAATGTACATCTATGCAATGTAGCCTATATTTAAGCCTTACGAACACTTGGTTAGCGTCTTTATTAGACAATATATATGTAGCTATTATGTTACTTATATTTGACCTTATTTTTCTCAGTTTGGTTTCATGATTTAAGTCCATTTTACGACCATCTATATCCGATACGGAAAAAAGACCCTTCAAACTGTTACTATATTTATACGATAATCGCTTTTGAACATGGTCCTTCAAAAGAAATAATGTGATCAACACGATATTAGGTGGAAACAAGAATTTAACACCGTTTATTTCTATTTTAGACCAAAGTAAAACACCCCTTTGACACAAAAGATGAAATACGTCTATTTCTGGACATAAACAAGCGTGTATGGAAACATAATTATGTCATAAAGAAATCTCTCTGTTGAAATACGAAACGCAGGAAAGTTACCAGACAGTTTTGAAGTCATATTTTAGGCTTAAGCCAATTTAAGAAAGAACTAATAATAATAATAATAATAATAATAATAATAATAATAATAATAATAATAATTATAATAATAATTATAATAATTATAATAACAATTACGAATAGAATCTTCAAAGCAGGCATAAACAGTAGTGTATTTGCACCAGGTAAATATTCTATATAACAAAAAGTCACTTTGTGCCTGACATTCTGGTCAGATACGATTTTTGAGTTCCCATTTGTCCGGAAATAATGATTCCGCCGGATAAAACAATGTATACTTTCACTTTACTATGAAATTTGGACCGGCATTTTTTGTTAAAATTACAAGTTGATGGTTTTATATTAAATTTTAGAATTTGTCTCCTTTTCTTTGAATTTCCATACGTCATATCAACAACAACCAGTGAATGTACGATCTTTCCGGAAACGGAAGTATACTTCATAACATAACATTGAACCGGATATGACTATTTTCGGGCACGGAAGATATTCATCTAATGATGAAGTGTAGACGGAACAAAAAGCTCCCACAAAAAGCTCCTGTGGTCAGTAAGTGAACTAATGTAAACATGTACATGTAAACGGATAAGCATAAAAAATTGATTTAACGTCAAGACATAAACTTATACATCCTTTGTTTAAACAATAGAAAGTATGTTTATCAATATACACTGAATTAGCCAATTGATTTGTAAACATTGTAATAAGCTCATTGTTAATCATTATTAATTAATTAACAGTACAACTCATATGAAATTCATATGATATTGTCTGATAAGTGGGTTATGCGCGGGGAAAATTCCATGTATCATCATCGAACAGTCTGTACTTCACATTGGAATTGATTTTATTCAATGTAAAAACACATCTTGTTTAACTTGTCTTCATAAATGTAACAATATTTCAGTTTATTTATTAACAATATATAGGTTTTATATAAATTACAAATGATAAGTGAAAAGGCTACGCTTTATTCGTATTTTTAATACTTAAGTACCGGCACTCATGATTCTCAAGAAAAATTTCATTCATAATTTTTTTGTTATTTATTGCAACAACATATGCGTTTTAAATTTGAGAATGTCTTGCGAGGCGAGTATGATAAATTTGGAAAAACCTAATAAACCTTTTATAAAAACACTGTTTACCAAATGATGACATTAATTTGTAAATGCTCGACCTTTTCCGTGAAATTTCGGATATGTACGGTAGCATAAATGGGACATCAGATATATTTTATCTATCAAAAGCGCACGCGATAGCTTCAACGACAACTACTATCGTGCGCACGTGGCAGAAAAAAATATTTCTGATGGCCCCATTATGCCACCGTAGTACGGAAACAAATTCGCTGTAATTCATCTCACTGTCATCTCATTTATAGTAAGTATCGAAATGAAATATGTAATTGTATATGGAAATTAATATAATGTTGTATCATAGTTTGGGGGCATTTCTGTTGAAAATGTGTCAGGGTTAAATCGTATACATATACATGCACAGTGCGTTAACTGGAGAGCAGGTATTAATTACCTGCACTTCAGAGCATGCCCATTGATTGGCTCATTTTTGTTGGGGTTTACTTATTGTCACTGCAGAGAAAGGAAACGCGGTAGAAATATCATATTCAGATGCTCGTTCATTGGTTACTTTTTCTGGGGTTTCATATTGTGGCAACAGGGAACGTGTTTTTATGTTTGACTATGATACAAAAGAGAAAGAACATCAAAACACTCGGCAATCGGATTAATACTCGTAGTACGCCCCCTCGTACAAATCGGATAGCCTCGTGTTTCGATGCTCTGTCTATTACTTATATAGTTATGTTTCACAACTCCGTTTGTGTGTTTACTCTATTACATACAACAGGTGTCTTATTTTGTTTTTTTATAACACAGGTGTGCATGTAATACAAGATAATACGAGGAAATAGGTTCTTCATGTATGTAGTGTTATTTTTAAGCTCCATATTTCCAATAGTTCAACAGGGAAACATGCATTAACCTCTGTTATAGGTAACTAGACCACAGAAATATCAATACAGACGTAGGGGGTATTCTGTGAAATCGTAAGAATATTAGCCAATGAACTTATAATGTAGCTCGAAAATATTTTATTTCTGATATTTCCAGAATTAATGCATGTTCAGCTCTGGCGTATATATGCTAAAAATAAAGCGCACACGCAAAAAAAATCCCGATGTAACTATGGAAGAAACACTTCACAACATGGTCACTTTAGGAAAACGCTGTTTATCGTATGCATTAGTATTGAAGACCAAATGCATAGAAGAGATAGTTTGTATCAAGATGGGCTATTCGTTTCAGACAGATAAAGAAATGAGTAAAATGTGCTGAAAGGATCGCATTTTCAAAATAACTTCCTGTTTAATCATTCGAAACTAAAATCGTTTGAAATGCGAATATAATGTCACAGCTTTACCTGGGCAGGGCCATCCGGAACCTTTTGCGCAACTTCGTATTTCTTTCGCTTCTTCTGCATCTCCTTCCATCTTTGCTCAGCCATAGGATCCTGCTGGGGTAACATTGTGTCGTGCAGACGAAAGAAATGATGTACGTCTGCTTTCACCCATCTGTAAATTGGGAAACTATATTCTGTGTCAGAGCCCTTTTTCTTGATAATTATATAGTCACAGTACCAGCGGCTTCCAAATCCAAAGTTGTCTCGCCATAACTCGATTTTCTCAATAGTTTCGAGTTCGGCTTGTTTTTGAATCACAAACTCGTCAATATGTCCGCATTCAAAATCATTTTTGAAAACATTATGCAGACGAATTTTGTCCGTCTTGTTCCCGCGGTTGTCATGGAATATAATCCGTATGTTGGCATCGGTGCCGGCCCTTTTCCGGTCCCCTGTTCTAACATGCACAATGTAGTCCGTTTTCTTATTCACTGTTGTCTCAGCCATTCCTTACAATCTCACAGAAATACAATCGATATGTTTATGAAGAAAAGAAAGATGAGATTCTCAAGAAAAACTAACCACAGATAAAATTTATATTGTCACTCGAACTGTATAACATAAAACTAAACAATGTCTTTATATTAACGGACAAAAAATCGTCTGCAGTTTGCAATTTAAATCCTTTGTAAACTTCTACACTAACGTACAATCCAACCTTTATGAACTCACTTTTTACAATGCTTCTGAAGTTTGATTTAACAGTCTCCCGGATAAATGGATAAATAATTTCTTAAGTTACCAGTTTTGTTTTCAGTTAAACAATGCAATGTTTTAAGTCCGTCAACGTGTGCTACATTTGTAAAGTATAACTCCGGGTATTGTTTTAATCTCGACAAATCAGCCCGTCCACTTTAAACCATCACATCTCAAGCATGTCCGCGTTATTTCGTGTTGTATACCTTACTTTAACACTTCAGAGCCAGCACTTTTGCGCACATACAACTATTCAATGTACTAATTGCTAGCAATTTATTAATAACACGGCTCAGAAAGTCCATTTGCCACTAATCACATATATATTTATATACATATAATTTCATAATTGTAACATGTTTGATGTTTCTGAACTGAACACTGTTGATTGCCAGTTATTTGCGAGTTGATTTTTTTTCCGCAAAACATATATCCTCAGGGTGAAACCTTAACACGTCACAAAAATGTTTCTAGTTGTTCTTTTCACCGACCTCCTTGTAACCTGATCTTTCTTCAAATATGCATATTATGCAAATCAAAATTTGTTACATTAGATATTTTATATACACAAGTCATATATAAATGACAGTAAGATGCAGATAGTATTTATTGAGATGACAAAGTGGTCACGTATCCTATTTCCTATATAAGTGTTGTTTCAAGTACTTTTATAACATTTCTTACATTCCGGAACACACGAACGTATCATCTCACCATTCATAAAACCCATCATAATCTTGATAAACTTTTTTTCTGAGAAAAAAACCATACACATTTCTAGTACCTACTCTACTCTGTTACTGTAAACCATAGCACCTAAAGGCCTCAACAGACGGTAGGATTTAGTTGTACAGCACTAATTAGAGATAAGATGTACAATTTTCAAAGCTATACAACACTTGCATTCAGACGGTAATTCTATACTGTAAGAATCTTCTGAGGTTTCCCCTGAAAAGGATCCCTTTACATTGATTCTTTACATACTTTTCTAACTTAATACTTTTTTTCGCCATGAGTAATGATTGAAACACATCCATTAAAAAATATATATTTTTTTTTTTAATGTGAAGCCTGACCGAGACTCAAACCTGGGACCCTCGGAATACCGTACTGTGGCTCTACTGACTAAGCTATGTGGCCGCCTACAAATTACCTCCCCTCCCCAAGTTCATGTAATTAGAGAACAATTCAATACCGTGACATAATCATTTTCGGAATAATTTGGGATTCGAACACAACACAACTTTGGGTCTCCTGAAGAGTTTTTCAACATCATTTTTACCCCATCTTACTACTTTGTTTACCTTTTAGCCCTAATTGTTCTGGAATTTCATTCATTACATCCATTATCAGGAGATAATTTGCTTATCTGTTACTTGTCATTGTGGGAGGTCTGTAAAAATCGGTACGACAAGATTTTCAAAATAGAACATGTCCTATCCCTTACATCTCGACATAAGGTTTCCAAAATCAAGAAATAGTAGCCTTCACACATTAAGATTTGCCTGTACATCTTAGTTTTAATTGGTGCTGTACTTCAAAATCCTACCGTCTGTTGAGGCCTTTAGTAACCTCCGCACTCACTTACTCACTTCATAACAAGATGATGGCTTGTAAGTTAATCATGTATACAAAAATAAATATGTCAGGTTATCAAAAAAAGCCTTCTTGTTTATTTATCCGGAAGTATTTACAGCAGACGATTGAAGAACATCACACCTAGGTAATAAAGTGGAGTTTCAGAAAATATTTAGAAGATTGCTATGGCATGATAAAACAATAGTTGTCTGTGAATATTATCCTCTAATTACAACACGTTTTTTTTTATCGAATCAAGCAATAATAGGAGTGTACTCTGGATCATTACAAAACAGAACATGTTTGATTACATTTAAGCTGTACAATTTCAACCGTGTTGCAAAATCAAAGTGGTATTCATCTTCAATTTCGTTTGAATTACATATCTGACTTTCTATCGTTTTGGATATTTGTGAATCTTACACTATGAGTTGAAATACGTATTTACATCATAGGTATGCTAAGGTTTTGTGAAGTGAATTGATATAAGATCATTTGCTTTTTAATTTACTTTTAATTAGTCTTCATTGACGCGATTATGTTCTCTGTAAATATTTAACATTTCATTATTAGTTCAGAAGAACATATCTCTGTTTCAAAAAATAATATACTGATTTTTAATTTGTTAGCAATAACAATATTATTTTCATATTATACGTGACCTCATTTGCAATTCTTTTGATGTGACTGCTATCTGCAGGTGAACGTTTTAAGTTATAACTATTTAGGTATCAAATAAATAACTAAATAAAAATGAAACTGTATTAGAGATGAAAATTAAATTGTCGGAAAAAAAGAAACATTTTCAAAGCATTTCAATTATTACGCATGCTTTTCATTAATTCACATTTAGACAATTGTTTACACAATTTTAAATGATCAATAATTCACATCAAAATTTTGATAATTATATTTATTTATAATGAGTGGTAATTTTACAAGAAACTTAATTTCTTCTTTGACAAGCAAACATTTATTTTTAAGACAAATTTATAAAATGTTTAATAAAACAGATTTCTTATCTCCAAGTTGACTACGATTTACACTATCACCCTACATTCCTTTGTCAAGATTATAACTCTCAATGTTAATGTATGTATTTGGGTTAGAATCCTTGATGATCTCCTTTTTAAGAAATCAGATATTTAATGTTCATATTATTCAAAACAGATAACGCCAAGAAAGTAATAGCTATAAAGTATTCAAATTATTACAGGTTAAAACAATATATAAACCCATAGGCAACAGACAAGGGTTATATAACATACAGCCCATCAATACACGGTCATATAGCCCGTATACCAGAATACCAGACGATTTTATTATGCTTAATAGCTTTCTTCGATCAAAATAAAAATAAAATATATATAATTGAAAACATTGTAGCAACTGTTAATGTCGTCCTATAACCATTAGCCTGCCACTGGCAACTGAATATACATACCCATGTCACCAGTGCAGACCAAGATCAGCTGGCACATCCATGTCGTGCCGGCTGATCTTGGTCTGCACTGGACGTTGTTCAGAACAGAACAGAACAGAACAGTTTATTATACACATGTACCATAAGTCGACAATCATCATACATATAGATAAATAAATTGAACCTATAATAAAATGTCACAACGGTAAAATCAGCACATATCACAAATTCATATTTTGAGAGGATGAACTGTATTTAATTACATTAGTATAAGTAATTCTATAAGTTCTATAAGTACAAGTTTAATATAATAAGCTAGGGTTTTCAGAATAATCTTTATTTTTGTATTTAACACGATAATAACGTTTAATATATATTTTGTCTATACTTATATTATTACAATGAAGAATAATAGAAATAACTTCAGTAGAATTTCAAATATTTGCATTGTAAAGACGTTTCGTCAGTACCAACAATACATATAATATAAAATGGAAACTATAAATTTAATGTGAGTTCGACAGAAAAGAAAACTTCCTGTAACTTGAACCAATTTATCATCTTGTTCAGATGTTTATGCTGTACATTAAGAAAGTATTTCAATGAAATTCTCAGAACCATAAATTTCTGCCGCTTTTAAGAATTTACCCAGGTAAGGAAATAAAGTACAACTCCATCCGTCTTATTTGACATGAGAAAAAATTAAGTTCCGTATCTTGCATCAAAATGACTGATAAATTTGTTTTGTTAAGATTTGGGTTATATAGCGGTGTGACAAGCTTGAAGTGTTTAACATGGACTTGAGTGTTTCTAAATTCCAATGAATATTATTACCTTATAGAATAGCCAGCTGATAAATACGTCCAATTTTGAGATAGCTAGATAACAAGCGTATCCGGCAACACTTTCTCATTTTTTGTCCTTCTTCTTTTTGAAGAATTTCTTAAAGGTATACTATAAGTATTAGAAAAATGATTGATAACTGCTGAACAGTCTCTATGTAAATATTAAATTGACATTTTTTGACTTCACACACAGTAGATATATCATGTTTCAAATTCTAAACATTACAGCTGGTCCACACAATGAATATATATATTTGACCTGTAATAGGGAGCTCAGCTTCCCATACATAGTTTATCTATTCATTTATTCAATTTAGACAAATTCAGTAAGACCTTATAGATTTAAATAAATTTCTGTGAGTAAAATATTTCAATAAGGATGAGAGAGCATAGAAGATCTTTAAAAAAGTATCCGGGTTATATTCAAATATATATGACTCCAAACACATTTGAAACTTTAAAAAGATACTCAGCCGAAGTCAAACGTGTTATCTTGCATAGGATAAGTTACTACTAACCATGCTAACCGCAAACAGAACATTTTAATCGTCCTCAATAATTTTATTTCAGTTCATTTTACCCGCAATGTTTTTCCCCATTAATTGTTATCTTAGATTTAAACAATATTACTTACATTATTTGATTTTAATCAAAATGGAATTTGATTTGAATAGAAATTTAATATAAAACAAAGATTTAGTAGATACTGTACACTAATTCCACGGAGAATTTTGCAACTGTAAATTAGTCGAAAAGATCGTTTCAACTGTGTTATGCCCGGTTCGAAAAGAGAATATTATGACTAGAACAGCTTAGAAGAGAAACCCAACCGAACGCAAAAGTACCAAAAAGGCGATCTGTCATATTTAATTTCATATATTTATTGAAAAGCTGTTAGAAACATCTAGAAAATATCATTATTGTGTTTTTATATTTATTCTGATTTGTATCTTTTCCCAACACTTTTTGCCACAGAGGTAGCTCTTCTACAATCGCAACTACTCGGCCCTTTCCGTCAGTCTTCGGATAAGGACCTCGAACACAATATAGTATGAATACACAGAACGGATGCGGTATTTCGGTCTAACCTGCGCTAAGAAACTAAACATGTAAACAAATAGTAATTTAATGCTGGGAGTTTTTGACAAGTTTATTTCTAATAAATGTAGTAAAAAGTCCACCTAAAATAAGTGAAATCATAGGTAAAAAAGCAAACAATACATTATTTATATATTTATTATTATGGTTGTAGAAACCGAAAGTACTAAAAACCAACCTGTTGACATTTATTCGTATTTGTTTAAAATTGAACATCAGTGGGCATATTTAAATTACAAATTGTTGTCAGACATATTTTCAAGCAAAAGAGTATCGGAATTTCAAATATATACATTCGTTTAACATTATCTCTGTTTCTGTTTACATCTGAAACCACGTGGTAGAACTACTTTCAATCCGTATTGTTTCCGAGGTTATTATAGATAATAGCCGAGGCAGTTCCAAATGGCTCTTCTAAAGTATCAATCGAATAGGCTATTAGTGTTAAAATGACCAATGGAAATTCTGCCTATATTCATTTCTTAGCGGAAATCAAGGCCGAAAAAAGTAGTGTTTACCTGCTGTTTTACTTATTGTAACTTTACATTCATTTTTGTGCTAGCTAGATATATAAAAGTGATATGTAAGGTATAGACATTGTCGCATTGTGAGATGGGGTTTAAATTTGTTTTACGTTTGCTCAGCATATTTGATATAAGGAGAAAGATAGTAGGTTTTTATTTCAAATAATGTACATGTATTTTCAAAATATTTATTATCATTATTAACTCTTTCACAAAGTGACAAGCCTTTCCACTATGATATAGCCAGAGCAGCCTGCGCGTCAGTGCAGTCTAAGCAAGCTCTGTACGCACTGCCTAACATATAATTTAGATGGATTCATTGACAATACATGTATATTTAGTAGAGCAGGCTGATTTAATCTGTATGACAAACAATAGCTTAATTTAAAAAGCGATATACATGTAGCTTAATTTAAAAAATGACATTGTAGCGTTCTGCTGGCGACAAATTAATCAAACAACTAAATTATCATTCAATTCAATAATTAAAAACTGTTCGTATTATATGATATCATACATAGTTCCTATATGATGTACAGACTTAGCCTACAATATAACGGTAGAGTATGATTTATCTACATTGCTCTTTTAATATCTCATTTTATGTAGGCTACAATGCTTTTTTCTGTAATGGCGTGCTGTTTATCGTTTTACCCCTAAAACTGTGCCTTTTATAGAATAGCGTTAGACCAGTATAACTAAACAGAGTGCGTGATCATTGATTCCTACACTTTAAAGCGTTGAAAATTGTGTACAGCTCAAGCCGGTGCTAAGGGGGGGGGGGTTTGGGATGTTGCACGTTTTCATTATCCCTTAATTTTAACTTTCTGATATAAAGATCCCTAATGAAAGATTCCAAAGCAGGATTTGATATTTTCTGAAACGACAAAGCGGTCTAAATAAATTCAAAGCAACTTACATAAAACAAGAACTTATCAGATTTTTAATGTGATAATATTGAATCTAATCTACATCTAAACCTATTGGGAAATACGCATACACTTAAAGAGAGGTCTTACTCATAGATACGGTGGTTGAAATTTCAAAAATCATGCGATTAAGGGTTATTCAAAGCCTAATTTGGATAAGACCACCATTTTATTTAAGACAGTCATATATAGATATCTTACCTGAGCAGGACCATCAGGTACTTTCGTTGCACACTCGTAAGCACGCCTCTTCTCTTCAAGTTGCTCTAGTCTATTTTTAGGCTCAGGATCAAATTGCGGAAGGAAATTGTCCATATGATGTATGATATAGTGTTTGTGCGGTTTAATCCAACGGAAAACCGGAAACATAAACTGCTTCTGGTTTTCTTCAGCCTCGATTTCAATGTAATCCAGAAACCAGTCTGAAAATCCTATTCCGGAATCGTCCCTCCATATTTCTATCTTGTGAATGTCGCCTAAATTAGAAACATTTTTAAGCTTGAACTGATCCAGCTGTCCCCTTTCAAAATCATTCCGAAAGAAATAGTCCAAGTTTATTGGTTTTGATTTATGCCCAGATTCACTATACAGAACAATGTATATGTTTGCATCCGTACCAGCATGTAACTGGTCCCCTGTTTTGACATTTGCAACATAGTGCACTTTTCCAGATCCAAAAAGTCCTTTACTAACACATGTACGTGAAACACGTGTTGTATCTGTAGACCGGAAGTTCCTATGAAATGGCAATCGCGTGGCATTACTCTTGAGGATTGTACTGGCAGTGAAAGTAGTCCTAACTAACTCCTTGTCGACAGATTCCTTTAAGCGATGCTTAAATAGTTCATGTCTAAAGTCACAAAGACTGTTTCTCGTTAAAGTTGTTAATCCATGTCCTACTTTGTGACACCGAGTGCCGAATGTCTTAAAAGACATCTTTAAGTGTGACCACTCTTTTAAAATCTAACAGAAGTTTAGATTAACACTGTCTGAAATGAAATACAGTACAATAATGTAGAACGTAAGGTTCATTTTGTCAATACACTAAAGAATATTTTACGTATAGTAAAACAAGAATACAACCGAACCATACTGAATGAAACTTTTAAACCACAAAGTTTACTTTTGAAAACGATATAAATACGTTTTAACACGTCAGATAAAAAATCTTTTCTTAATCGAAATGATTGACTTTTTTACAATGTCTTTTATAGCTATTATATTGAGCGTAAACTTACACAATTAAAAGGCTTACCACGGCTTACAGTTGTAATTATAGATATAAATGTCCTGCCCGGTAGACAATATATAATTGTGATTTAGGAAGGTAACAAAAAGCACGTTCTTTTCCGCGTAATCTAAAATTTTCGCTTTAATTTATCAGCAACTTTTAAGATAATCTTTATACGGCTGTATTTTGAACAATAATAACCGAGGCCTATGTTTTAACAGGGTTTTTGGTATTAAACTCCCCGTGCATATGATTAACACTATAAACTCGTCTATATGGTATAGTATACTATACAAGTTGTACTTCTAAATAAAACATTGCTTGCATAAAAATATGATGCATGCATGTGAATCTTTTTATCAAACCTGACAAAATCCATGAGTTAAAATTATTCATTCGGAACACCTCATCGATAACCAAAAAATGACAAACGGGCCGAAAAGTTGCAATTGAAATAGAGAATCAAATTATGTTGTTTTTTAAGACCGTACGGAAATAAAAGCGCATCATTTCGTTTTCTTCCCCAATTTTGTTATAAATTTCCTTTATCTTACTTTTTTTTACTTCATTAAAATGTCTGTTTACAAATTTACATATATCGTTTTATGTGATGTTGAACTTTAAGTAGTCCAGTCAAGTTATGACATTATTAAATTTAACTTAGAAATACACTGTTTAAATAGTTGTTTATTTGAAGAAATACGGTACATGACTTTTTATGCGTAGCGCGTAACTAGTGATCCGTGCATTTAACCAACATTGATTTTATTCTCACAGTGATCGATCTTTGATCTATTGATTATCAATAACATTACTTTCATTAATAATCGCACCAAACAACCTTTTTATTTACTTTTACACCCTGAAATATTCCTTTCTTGTATAACGTTTTGAAGAAATTTTTTTTTAACAAACCCCAAGATTTTATTACAAATAAAGTAGGACCATTAAATAGAATATTATTTGTCAAATCCTACAGAAATCCTAGTGGGTAAACATTTCTTATTTATGTACTTGCAAGGAAGTATACAACTTGAATTAAATAAGCTTACAATTAATCATAAAGTTATTGGAAGTAACAGGTGCTTGTGCTCGCAATAATGCATATATACATGTACATTGAATCAAATAGACTCGCAAAAATTCATACAGTGATTCCGATGACGGATTCTCGAATGTACTTATACACTGTATCCGTATCCATATCATACATACATTTATAAATTTTGAAATATCTTTTATTTCTTCTTAATTGTCATGTTTTACCGCATATCTTTTTGACAGTTTAAGATTAAGTTTAAAACGTGTTCATACCTGATACGTACAGGTAAACATACACAGAAACAACTGCTTTATGATATGATTAAAGACAAAATGGCTGAGCCAAAGTTCTTAAAACACTAGCGATCAACTCTCCCCTAAACTGACGTAAAATGGCTTTATTAACCAGAAGTTTTGGCTTCTTTAATGAAATATTGTAACATGTTTACATATAAAGCAACAAAAAAAAAATAGAAGCGTACGTTTAAAGGCCCTTTACATCCCATATTTTTGTCATGCTAAAGGAAAGAATATATAACTGTTTGAGGCATAATGTTCAAAACTGAAATATATCGTCACATCAATGCAGTAACGAGTTAATTTCTACATATTATTAAAAGAAATATGTAGAATCTGTTGGACACTGAAAGCTATATTCACTTGTTTTTATGTGTGTTTGAAAACAAACAAAATGGATGGTCATTCAATCAACAATAGTATATAAGAATTGCACATTCGGTTAGATGAGCCTGCAAATAGTCATACATATGTATTGTTGATTGAGGGATCATTCCTTTTCCCAGATTTTTTTTAGGTTTTTAACACAAACTTAAAAACCAAGAGATTATAGCCTTTGCTACCAGTATAAGGTCTGACTAGCCTGAACATTTGTGCAGTCTAACCAGGCTTTATACCATGGATTTATGCTGTTTACTACAAACTTAAGTTCCCATTTCGATATCCTTCCCAGAGTCCAATACATTTATCGATGCCTAAATTATGATGTTTTTCCGGAACAAATGTCTTATATTTCCATCAGGTCGTGCTAAACAGTATACGAGTTAAAGATAGCACGTGCTTTCGAATAACCAATCAGCAATGTGCATTATAATTATATATATAAACATATTCTTGAAAAAAAAAATGAAACAAATAAATGCTCACCTTTTATGCTTGTTCTCCACCACATATCTGTAGCAATCGAACCGTGCTCACGGGGTTTAGCACAGCTTTATTTTTATACATGAAGCTGTTAAATTATTTACAGACGCTCGCGTGCAAATTGTCGTCTGTGATAAAGATATAGAAATGAAGGGATACAAAATTGTATCGCTACTTAATGCTTGGAAGCATGTCTTTGTTGCCTTATCTTATTTACCTTTTGCACAATTAGAATGGAAATTTCGTAATATTCTGCTAAAACAAAGCAAAATAAAGAAATAACTTCCATTTATTGTCTCAAAATTATATCCAATTTTGCTTTGAACATTTATTGACCTAATCAAATAATCTCAACGTACGGGTTAACCTATCTGTTCTGTCGCTGCGATATAAAATTATAATAGGTCATGCTGAAAAAAATCTTTTCCCATAGGCAAAACAATAAATTCATTTAAGATTTAAAGCAAGCAGTTTTGGCTATTTTTGGTGAACTTTTTGTAATGTAATTTGCAGAGCTGTTCGTTTTGGGGTGATGTCTTTAGCATCAGTTTTACGTTATGAGAGACATCTACTCGTACGTAGCAGTCATCTAAGAATCTGCACCCGTGCGCAGAGACATACAAAACAACATATCTGCCGTACCGAACGGGTTTATTATCTTACAAATAACCTAAAACAAATTTAAATGACGGTAGATAGCGAAAAGCAATATGGTCGAGGACTATCTACAGTCATGCAAACAACACCAAGGACTGTATATAAAAGAAAAATGTATTTTTGTGTGTATTTGCGTTTATTTATACTCGCCACCGGTTGCCCATATGGGCGAGTCCTCCAGAAGAGTATTAGTCATTTTATTTTTTTGGAGGATAGTGCAATTACAGATACAGAAAGATGCCCCAATTCCAGAAGCTTCTCCTGGTTCTTTAGCGTGCCAAGTGTTTAAGCACCCATACACGGGACCTCGTTTAAAGTCTCATCCGAAAGACTGATTAGTAATTTTTAGTTGGCCAGCCCGGGAATCGAACCCACAATGTCGAGATTACAAATCTCGCGCTCTAACCGATTGAGCTATGCGGGCTGGTAGAAAAATGTATGAAGTTTTTGTGTGTTTTAAGTTTGTTTATACTCGGCGCCGGAATCAATCATACGTTTGCGGCTGTCATCGTCCTGGCCGGTCCGCATCTGATACATAACAGGGGGCGTCTTTTTTCATGCTGATCTGTCCGCAGATCTGTGTTTTTCGTATGTAGGTGGTATATAGCAGCAGCAGCAGACGATTACACCAAGGCACCCTTCTAAACGACTCTCAGTAGGACCACACCATTCGAGAAAGTCAGAACAGTTTGACAAATCATCCCTGGTACTTAACCTTTTACCCCATGAGCATATTGTGAAAAATGGCAGTTTTCATTGAAAAGCCTCCTGTTACAAGTTCCAACTGCTATAAAACTATGAAAAATGCTTCAATACTGATGAAACTTGGCACATATGTTGACTGAACAACCATAACCTCTGTAACACTATGCTCAATCTTAAATTTCCTGTTACCATGGCAACGGGGGGAAGTCTCAAAAGTGCGAAAAATCACTATTTTGCATTATTTTTTTCCATCAAAACTTATTTCAAAGTGCTGCAACTTCTCAATGCAATAAGATAGAGTAAAAGGCTTTTCAGCGTTGGTTACACGTCACCTTAAGATCGACCTGAGGCCATTTTTAGCCTGTCACATGTCCAAAATTTTCTTGGCGATAAGGGGGACTACCGCCCCCCTTCAAACCCCAAAAACAGAAGGGGGCACATCCCCCTTCTGGCAACCCCCTGATGTATCATTTTGATGGAGGGCCGCGCCGAAAAAGTGGTCTCTTTTTTAACAACATTTCTCAAACGAAAACAAGTGTTTGGGCCTAAATAGGGCATTTTTTTCACTGTTTGAGGCCTCAAAAAAGGGGGAGGGGACAAAAAGCCGTCGAAACACGTCTATATGAGGGAAAAGGTTAATATCACATGACCATGACGATTTCCTTCTTCGCGACGTCCTTGCCTCTGGATAGATTTGGAGAAGGCATGACAATTAACACGTACACTGCTTTTATTACATGTTTTAACTGCTAGAAACACAAAAGTAACGATCTATGGCCTAGCCGGATGTCTCTATTGTATTCAAGATGGGTTTTTATTTCCTTCTTTTAAAAAAGTGATTTTTTTATTGTGTAACAATATAACAAAACAGGAAATATATAATCAAGGAAAATATCAGTTTGTAAAGGATCTTAATGAATGAATAAACACAATTATCTAAGTCCTTAAATGTTAAAGTGTTACAGTGACAGTATCTACAACTCACATTTCAGATCATTTATGTTCCTCAAAAATATTCCTAGCAGTTCAAGTGTTTTCACTTATTCTCACCATTACTCTACAAGGGGAGCGGTGGCCTAGTGGTTAAGATGTCTGCCTCTCAACCCAGAGATCATGGGTACGAGCCCTACTCTGGTCACGACCATTTTTCTTCGTATGACACCAGTACAGGTTGGTTCCAGGAAGCGCTCTTAAAAGTGATTAATATAAGTTGTAAGAACTTGTAATGCAATCGAGCTAAAATAAATATGTTTAAACCAATACCCTTTCAAGTTGTCAGCCCTTATTTTTAATTTATTTTATGAAATATTTATGTCTTAATCATATACAATGATGGTGTTCCACAATAAATCTACCTCGGTGAAAACAAGAGGGCCATGATGGCCCTGAGGTCGCTCACCTGTATTTAGGCCCCCAACCCCCCCCCCCCCCCCCAACGTTGCAGGGCCAATTTAACCAAAGGGCTTTTATTTGCACAAACTTGGTAGACACCCATAAGAAGATGTTTCATGCTAAACATCTAAGCTCTAGCTCATTGGGCTTTTTAAAAGAAGATTTTTTTTTAAGTTTTTACTATACACATATAGTTAAAAACAATGACACCCCTGGGGCCGGGCCAATTTTGACCCCAGGGCTTTTATTAGAACAAACTTTGTAGACACTTACTAGATGATGTTTCATGCTTAATATCTAAACTCTAGCTATTTGGGTTTTTTCAAAGAAGATTTGAAGTTTTTGCTTTACACATATAAAGAAAATCAATGACTCCCGGGGCGGGGCCAATTTTGACCCCAGGTCTTTTATTTGAACAAACTTTGTAGACACTCACTAAAAGATGTTTCATGCTTAATATCTTAACTCTAGCTACTTGAGTTTTTTCAAAGAAGAGTTTTTAAGTTTTAGCTATACACAGATAAGGAAAATCAATGATCCCCAGGGCGGTGCCAATTTTGACCCCAGGGCTTTTATTTGAACAAACTTGGTAGACACCTATTAGAACATGTTTGATGCTAAATATCTTAGTCATAGCTCTTTGAGTTCTTTAAAAGAAATTTTTTTAAGTTTTTACTATATGCATATACCGGTAGGGAAAATCAATGACCCCCCGGGGCGGGGCCAATTTTGACCCCCAGGGCTTTTATTTGAACAAACTTGGTAGACACTTATTAGAACATGTTTCATGCTAAATATCTTAGCTCTAACTCTTTTGGTTCTTTGAAAGAAGATTTTTTAAGTTTTTACTATATGCATATAGGGTTAATCAATGACCCCCTGGGGCGGGGCCAATTTTGACCCCAGGGCTTTTATTTGAACAAACTTGGTAGGCACCTATTAGAAGATGTTTGATGCTCAATATCTTAGCCATAGCTCTTTGAGTTCTTTAAAAGAAGATTTTTTAAGTTTTTACTATATGCATATAGGGAAAATCAATGACCCCCCAGGACGGGGCCAATTTTGACCCCAGGGCTTTTATTTGAACAAACTTGGTAGACACCGATTAGAACATGTTTCATGCTAAATATCTTAGCTTTAGCTCTTTGGGTTCTTTAAAAGAAGATTTTTTAAGTTTTTATTATATGCATATAGGGAAAATCAATGACCCCCCGGGGCGGGACCAATTTTGACCCCATGGCTTTTATTTGAACAAACTTGGTAGACACTCACTAGAAGATGTTTCATGCCAAATATCTAAGCTCTAGCTCTTATGGTTTTTTAAAAGAAGATATTTAAAGTTTTTTCTTTCGGTTGCCATGGCAACCAGAGTTCTGCATGGAATTAAATTCTTTGAACAATTTTTAAAGGTGACCACCAAAGGAACATTCCTGTGAAGTTTGGATGAAATTGGCTTAGTGGTTTCTGAGGAGATGTCATTTAAAGTAAAAGTTTACGGACGGACGCCGGACGGACGGACGCCGGACGAAAAGCGATCACAAAAGCTCACTCTGTCACTTTGTGACAGGTGAGCTAATAAAAACAATTGGGCAACGCCTTCAAAAGTTACACAGAGGTCAGATCCTAGAGGTCAAACTACTACCGCACTGCGTTTGGGATTAAGCTGCTCTCGCTTTTACTAACAAGCTGCCGATGTCCTGAATGAAGTTTGCAAAAAGGGAACGTCTACAAAGGAAGCAGGGACAAGGAAGAGAAGTCCCTAGTACCTGTGACGGCTTGAAAGACGAGCATGTTGCTTGGCACAAACTGCCCTTATTAGGGTTACCTTCTTCATTATTGCCACAGGTTACTGTACGTTCTAGGTCTCATTGGCCGCCGTACAGTATAACCTTTTCGGGTCAAAATTCATCTCGTTGGCTAAATACTCAGTAGAAATTACCACGAAAGTAAATTATTACCACTTTGTGCTTCAAAATTATTTATTTAAGGGCTTTAGTGGTGGTATGCTCGATAGCGGAGACTATTTTTTTTCAGCTGTAACAATCGGATGGACCTTTATTTAACATACATATGAGATGTTTCAAGATTTCATGTTTAGCTCCTGTGACCTACTTGAACACCAGACTGAAACCATTTATATGACTTTTGTAGATGACCACCAAAGGTTTATACCTGTGAAGTTTGGTCAAAATCTACAAGTAATTCAAGAGATGTCTTTAAAGAAATTGTGGATAACGACAGATGATGAACGACTGCAACAGAAACACTACTATCACAAAAGCTTAAGCAGGAAAATTTCAATGTCAGAACAGGTTTCATGATGCTATTTATATGTTACAACATAGAAAATATTGTTTATTCCATTTTAATACGACTATAGCTGCTTGTTTCAATTACATGAACACATTTGTGACAATCCACGATTAAAAACATTTCTAACAAAGGTAACATTTGTATATTATTACATAGTATAATAACTGGTTTCTAAACTTGTTGATTTTAATTTTAACTGTTGTTTTTATGATGATTGACAAATACAGGAAAAGGTAAGAAAAATAGAATAAATAAAGTACAAACAATTGCCCTAGCAATGTGGACAGCTGGGATGTACACAACATGAACAAAGCATTTTTGCACACTATCAGTGTGTAACATACACCATATATATAGACATATGATTTATCTTTATGTACCAATGTATAATTACCTCGATAGTATTTAATATTACACATAACAACAAATCACGAAAGAATTATACATGTATGTTGATAGCAAGTGTAAGATATACATGATCCGATATTACATGTATATATATATATATATATATATATATATATATATATATATATATAGCAGATAACAAAATGTTCTAATAAAAAAAATCAAATTCTTCATCATACAAATGGTCATTCTAAATCACTTAGAACTTTATCAACATTTTTTCCAGCAGCATTTTATAAGAGTATCAAAGTGATACATTTCTGCTGTGGTTTTTATCAATATTGAATATTTAAAATACTAATGGAAAATATGCCCATTGTAGACCTATACACTTTAAAATTCCAATAGCAGTTTTAACATATAACTGTTATGTGATCAAATTTGATGAGATTGAATTGTTCGTCTTAATATGTGTAAAGCTTTATATCTGACATAATTATATAAAAAATTTCTTATTGAATTTTGAAAAAATAAAGCAAAACTTTCAAAATACTTTTTACAAAACAAAATATGCTTACAAAATGTTGCATGCAAAATATTATTTCTAAATGGTTAAAACCCAACTTAAAATAGCAGCATAATAATTTGTCCCCAGAACATTTTTTTCTGTTTATACAATATGCATGTATGTTAAATAACAGGGTCATTCTACATGACATCTCTTTGATGTATTTTTATTTTTTTAGCATGTTAGTCTATTTCAATAGACAATGCATTATACTCTTAAATTATACAGATCCGCAAATATAGGAAAGACATTATTTACAATAACAGTATGCAATCTACGGTAAACTGTAACTTAATTTGAGCCGCGTCACGACAAAACCAACATAGTACGTTTGCGACCAGCATGGATCCAGACTAGCCTGCGCATCCGCGCAGTCTGATCAGGATCCATGCTGTTCGTTATCAGTTTTTCTACTTGTAATAGGGTTGGTAAGCGAACAGCATGTATCCTGATCCATGCTGGTCCCAAACGCACTATGTTGGTTTTGTCGTGACGTGGCTCATTTAATGTACTCAGTTTCAATTGATTGACAATTCTACAAGCAAAGCAAAAGCAACCAATAACATATCTTAATAACAACATTAAATACAATATAAAAGTGTTTAAAAACAACATTCTAAATTTGAAACAAATCCAGTCAAGCTGAGAGCTGCCATTTACATTTGTCTTTTCTTAATAACTCTAAATTTCCATCTCCAACTCTTTGAAATACAATTAATACATATTCAGTAAAGGTAGCAAACTTTGTACAAAGCATATTTGGACTTCCATACAAAATTCTAAATCCCTATTGATGAACTAATTGCCAAAAAGCAAAAGATTGGAGCAAATAAGTAACAGTAACAAAAAGCAGTAGCAGGACAACAATAATACCAAGCTTGTAAGAAATAATCAAAATAATAAAAAAATTGTCTAAACTGGCCTTTAAAAAAAAATGCCAAAACCATTATTTTTGTAAATGGTTAAACATAGTGCATTTAAAATGCTAAAAAAACGCACAAGCTCATATTTTTCACTTTTTTTATTGTCACAGTTCAAAACTGTTCACTATTTAATAAAAAAATATGGAAGCGGGCAAAAAGCTCAGTCTGTAAAGCCGCAAAACGGTATTCAAAGGGTCCAAGGTTCAAGTCCCAATCAGGCTGCACATTTTTCTCGCCCTGTAACATTTGGCACCTGACGTGGGGCAATAACTGCATAAATCTCTAAGTTCAATTAGCGCAAGTTTGTTACTCTTAAGAAATTCAAAAACAAATTTCAATATAGCAGGGGGAGTATGTCACCGGTCAAAATTGTTCACTTTCCAGGTTCAAGTCCCAGTCAGGCTGCATATTTTCCTCCCCCTGTAACAATTCAAATTATTAAAAATTTCAACATGAAAAGAGTCACAAGTAAGATCCTCTATGTAAAAATTTTACAATGCCCACCAATTATTGTTTCTCATTTAACTCGTCAATACTATCCTTCAGATCATTAACAGACTGTGTTAAAGCTTTCAATGTCTTAATACAATCCTTCATGACCACTGTCTGTTCATATACAAGCTGATGGACATCCATTTCTGTCTTCTCTGAAATATATAATACAAATAACTCAGGTTAACAGATACATAATACAAATAACTCCGGTTAACAGATTAAATTTTATACAAGGTGTATTTCAGGCATGCATACAGGATTCTGTTTTACCACAGGAGGTTGGAAAATATATGTCAAGGGGAAAACCGAATTCAAAGGAGGTATAGGCAGTTTACTAGTTAACTGTTTTCCAGAGGAAGTTATGAGTAAAATTTTCACTAAAATATCTAAGTTGATAATTAAATCTCATAGCTGTAAGAGATTCTTGCCAAATCCCCATGGGTAGATAAAAGACCTAACCTTATCTGGATCCACAGACTGATTTAATTAGAAGAACTACCAGTACATATAGTTAAGATAATGTCAGTTTGATTGAAGTGTACTGTGTATTTAAAATTACTACATACATTCTTCTAAACTGCACTGGATATGAATAATGTTTGTCATTATTTGTTTTATATTTTGCTCCAATTAAATGTGTCAGTGACATACAGCCAAGTAAATTTCATCATAAATCTGAGCATAAGTCTGTCAACAGGTAAGTAACTTATCTTTCAATCAATTCAAAACATACAGAGCAGACACAAATGTTTAAAATTAATAAATAAAGATCTAATGTGACCTTGAACCAAGGGGGCCCAAACCTGCCCTCTGCATATCAACTCATTAAGGTTAACATTACTGCCAAGACACTTCAGTTTCCTTCTATCAGTATAAAAGATACAGAGTGAACACAAAATTTACTAATGGATGGATAGATTCACAGGCACATACTGATAACAGTATAAGCTGAAATTCTTTCTCACCAAGGGAATTATTCAAGAAAAAAAATCTCTGTCTGAAGAGTATGTAACTATATCAAAAAAGTTTGGTATAATTAAAGATATTCATCAAGATTCTGTATCAGAACAGGGTTACATATATTGAATGAGTGTAGTTTCAATAGTAAATTTACTGAACAAGTTGAATAAAATTATATTATGCTAGCCTTTGGCCAGCAAAATATTATTTCATTCAACCAGTTCAATAAATTCAGTAATGAACCTACACAAATATAATATTCTATTTATCACATACCCAAAATAAAGACTGTTTAAAGTGCACACAAATCATTTTTAATTGACGCGCATATAGTGTAACACTTACATTTAGTGCATCTTTGCACCTCTTTACACTATGCTTGTATAACGAAAATAAAACACATCAAAATATATGCACGGCCTTGCAAAACCATTTATACGGAGTCGCAAAATCGGCACGGGCGTGTGATAGATAAGATTATTGTTAAGAAATAAAACACTTACCGTCATCTGAAGGGTTTAGATATATTGCACAAGTATTGGTCACTTTCCTTGGTCGTCCTCTCCTTCTCTTTGGAGCATAATCTGAACTAAAACTACCATCACTTGATGAACTAGTTGATCTCTGACAAAATAACATAAAATTTTCATGAAGAAATTTTACTTGAATAAATATTGTACTTTGTATTTTACTTGGTTGTTCATGGTAGGTGAGTAACAATTTAGACATTGATTTTGAAGGTTATGTAAAGGTTTGTTGAAGATTATATGCTATTTGAATTATAGATACATGTATTATACTTGTATATCTAACAGTATTATTTACTGTGTACACCAGTGGTTAAAAACGCCATTTCATAACACCGCCCACCCCCAAGTTAGAAAAGTCACATAAGTCACATCCTTTAAATGATGTCATTTATTAATGAATTGCATTCTAAAGATGATGCCATTTTGCCATAATGAATGAGAGAAGAAAATAGAGAGATACAAAAATATTCCTTTCATGATTTATATGTAATATTCAAGAAAAAGAATCAAACACTGGCTGTCATCACAGATGGGAATATTAAGTTCTTGGGTAAATGTTTAATTGAAACTAAGGAGAGCCTTGTAACCACCATGAGCAGTTACCCTTGTGCTAGGTATTCTTTTAATCTTTACATACAATAAGGTATAAATCTAGTTATAACAAGCAATTATCATAGTATTGCAAGCAATCCATAAGTCCCCTACCGGTTAAAATATTATAGAAGTTGGAGTGAAAAATACCAATATCTCGAAAAAAAAATCTACGTTCAAGAGGGAGATAATTCTGGAAATAGTCTTGCTTGAGTATTTAACCTTCTCAAAAATGTTGAGTGATAATAAGAAACATATATATGAAGTTTGAAGTGGAAACATTAGTAAATAAAGAAGTTATTTAAAAAAGGCAACTTTTTTTTTCATAAAGATTCTAAGTTCAAGGGAGGTAATACTGATAATTTTTGTGCTAGAGTTGTAAACCTTGTCACATATGATGTGGTTGATGACTAGAAACTTATATTTAAAGTTTGAAGTAAACACATTAAGAAATAAAGAACTTATAGTGAAAAAGCTGAAAAAATTAAATCAGAAATTTTGAAATTCAGGCTATTTGTTGCCATAGCAACCAGAATTTTCAACATAGGAAGAAAAGAAAAAGATGTGCATAATCTCCAGACTGCCATCTACCCATATTTCAAGTTTCATAAAAATATTTTTAGTACTTTTTGAGTAATCATTGGATCCAGTTTATGTGTTAAATTTGCCATATTTTCAGATTATTTGTTGCCATAGCAACCAGAATTTTCAACATAGGAAGAAAAAAAAGACGTGCAGATTATGATAATCTCCATACTGCCATCTATCCATATATCAAGTTTCATAAAAATATTTTCAGTACTTTTTGCGTTATCGCGGGATCCAGTTTTGTGGACGGACTGACAGACAGACGGACGGACAGACGGACGGAGGGTAAACCTAAAGTCCCCTCCGGTTAAACCGGTAGGGGACTAATAACATGATAAAACAAGAATTCCACTCTTTGTTTTAAAATTTTATTGCTGAATTTCTAGAATGAACTTTCCTAATTTTGATTTGAAACTGTCCAGTGATAATGTGTAGGATTTTTAAATCAAAATCAAAGAATTATGTAAAGGTTGGTCAAACTGCAAGAATATGCAGGATGTCCTGGCCTAATGAAATGGAAGCATTCTAATGACATAACTTTGTTTCTATCATAGCCCTTTCTTTTCTCTTAAAGCTGATATGGAAAAAGAAGAACCAGGTGTTTTAAATAACTAAGTATGAAAATTTAATATATATTAGGGATGTCATCTGGAGCTAAAACGGCCATCCGGATATCCGAATCAAACATCCGGATACATCCGGTGTTCGGATCGTTGTTATATTCTTAGTTGGCTGATATGACGTAAACATTTTTTCGCTACCTTTTTCAAAGTGTTGTTGTTCATTTCACTTCCCTTTTAATTGAATGTTATGTGTCAAAAAATTTTCATTATTGGTTTTATTTTTTCTATATACAATATGACTGTTATCGATAAATTTAGTGCATGTGGTACTTAATTACGATTTCAAATGAAATGAAAATGGAATTCATCGCCGATTGTCTCAATTCCTCAATTAGTGCTATAATACACAATAACACAGTAATAAACTGTCACTCACTCACATTTGTGAAAACAAAATAACACCCGTAAAAATAAATATAATGTTTCCATTGTTCAATAACACGCATACAATTTACACACGATGACATTTGACAGGTGTGTAGCCGGCTTTTCAAAAGAATCTGCCAATCTTTGATGTTTACCAACATGTAGCCCTGGCTGTTTGATTCGAATCATCAAAGAAGTCGCTGAAACTTACATGAATTACACACATTTTAAGTGTTCATAAGTGAAAAAAACTGAAAAATTTGTTTTAAAAAAAATGCACATGTTAAGATTAATACTAAGGGAGAAAGTTTTTTTGTCGGATAATTATTGTATCAATTCAAATAAAAGCTGTGATAATTAACATATTATTATTCGTAAGTGCATTTCTTGATTTGATTATTTTATTTCTGCAAATTTTTCATTTTCTCATCAAATAATAGCCTAATTAAATAATTACATTTGGATATAAAAATGTAACATCGTTGCCGATGACAATCACACGGGACTTAGAATTATCATCTTAAATCCTACAAAACTTAAATTTGTTTGGTGTTTAATATATACATGTATTAACAATTGTGTCATACCTGACTCGTAATTATTGATTTTTTGTGGTCTGCAGAGATTATGATGTGTATTGTCAAACTAAGGTACAATATACAATATGGTGTCAACACCATGTCTACGTCGATTATCTCAGCGCATGTTTTTTATCACATTTTCTCAATATTCTTAAATATTTTTTGCAAACATCCGGATTCGAAAATCTGCTCCGGACACCGAGTTGTGATCCGAATGTTCAGATATCCGGACTTCAAATGACATCCCTAATATATATACATGTATACATAATGTCTATCAAGTGATATCTAGGAGAATTATTTATCTGTAGTTTATTTCAAGTTCTTTATATTTTTGGTTAGGTTTTAAAATCATTATGACCTTTTTAAGGTCATATGGCAACTTTCCAGATTAAGTTGTGGAGGAAGGACTGTGGTGTCCCCCTCCACGCATTGTTTTCATCATACTGTTTGTGAGTTAGGTTGACAGCTCTAATATTAACCCATTGCTTCATGAGCATTTTGTGAAAAATGGCTGTTTTCATTGAAAAGTCTCCCGTTACAAGTTCAAATTGCTATAATACTATAAAAACTGCTTCAACACTAATCAAACTTGGCACAAATGTTGACTGGACCATTGTCCTTGCAACAACATGCTATGACTTAAATTTTCTGTTACCATGGCAACGAGGGGACATCTCAAAATTGCCAAAAATCACTATTTTGCGTTGATTTTTTCCATCAAAATTGATTTCAAAGTGCTGCAACTTATCAATGGATTGAGATAGAGTCAAATGCTTTTCAGCGTTGGTTACACGTTACCTTATGATCAATCTGGGGTCATTTACAGCCTCTCACAAGTCCAAAATTTTCTTGGCGATGAGGGGGACTCCGCCCCCCTTCAAACCCCCCAAAACAGAAGGGGGCACATCCCCCTTCTGGCAACCCCCTGATATATCTTTTGGTTGGGGGGCCGCGCCGAAAAAGAGGTCAATTTTTTTAACAACATTTCTCAAACAAAAACAAGTGTTTGGGGCCTAAATAAGGCATTTTTTCATCATTTGAGACAACAAAAAGGGGGGGGGGTGAAAAAGGCGTTAAAAGGCGTGTATATGAAGTAATGGGTTAACTGAAAATGATGAAAATACTTGAAATTACCCTAAATCGCGTTTTTTTCAATGTTTTAAACATGGCCTGTCATATAAATTTGAAGAAAAAATTGTTGTTTTGTAGATTTTTTTACTTTTTTCATTAACCCATTGCTTCATGAGCATTTTGTGAAAAATGGCTGTTTTCAATTGGAAAAGTCTCCCGTTACAAGTTCAAATTGCTATAATACTATAAAAACTGCTTCAACACTAATCAAACTTGGCACAAATGTTGACTGGACCATTGTCCTTGCAACAACATGCTATGACTTAAATTTTCTGTTACCATGGCAACGAGGGGACATCTCAAAATTGCCAAAAATCACTTATTTTGCGTTGATTTTTTTTCCATCAAAATTGATTTCAAAGTGCTGCAACTTATCAATGGATTGAGATAGAGTCAAATGCTTTTCAGCGTTGGTTACACGTTAACCTTATGATCAATCTGGGGTCATTTACAGCCTCTCACAAGTCCAAAATTTTCTTGGCGATGAGGGGGACTCCGCCCCCCTTCAAACCCCCAAAACAGAAGGGGGCACATCCCCCTTCTGGCAACCCCTGATATATCTTTTGGTTGGGGGCCGCGCCGAAAAAGAGGTCAATTTTTTTAACAACATTTCTCAAACAAAAACAAGTGTTTGGGGCCTAAATAAGGCATTTTTTCATCATTTGAGACAACAAAAAGGGGGGGGGGGGTGAAAAAGGCGTTAAAAGGCGTGTATATGAAGTAATGGGTTAAATATTCTGAAGTCCCTGGAAGGACTCAAATACATAGTGGTGACAGGCAATTCAGTGACCCTAGCCACTCAGCCATCAAATAGTTAAAATGTGGTGTTGTGAGTAGTGAGTGAGTAAGCAATATTTCTTTTATAGAACAGCATGAAGAAAGCATAATCAATATCTCTTGATGATGAATGTCCATAAACTTTTTTTATTCTACCTTTAAATGATAAAATCTCCAGGATGGAAGATTTAAGACCATTAATTGTCAGCAACTAAACTGAAATGAAAAAAACAAACCTAATCTTATTGAAAGAAATTTTACAAATGATTTAGACTGACAATAATTTTTATACTATTAATTTATTTTCAAGCCTTACTGCTTTCCTTTTCCTCTTCTTTTTGAACTGGTTATCAATTTTCATGGCATTGAAGAAGTCCGGTCTTTCTCTGTTGATTCTCTCTGTCCTTCGTATCTCTGCATCATCATCTATTTCAGCATTTTAAAAAGATAGAAAATGTTAAGGTTCAGTTTTTATGCCATTTCATTTAATTTATACAGAATTTATTTTAGTTTAAACAATATTTATTTCTTCTTCCATATTTTCAAACAAAATTTCAATACATAAATTGCATCCAGGATTGAGTAGAATGCTTTAAGCTTATATTAAACTCTCTTCTGAAGAAATTTATTTTAGTTTGATTGTGTTGTTGTTTATTGGGTTTTACGTCACATCGACACAGTATAGGTCATATCGCAACGTTCCAGCTTTACTGGTGGAGGAAGACCTCAGGTGCCCTTCCGTGCATTATTTCAGGCACGAACGGGCACCTGAGTAGAACCACCGACTTTCCGTAAGCTAGCTGGATAGCTTCCTCACATGAAAGAATCCAAAGTCCCTGTCGAGATTCGAACCCACAGCGGTGAGGGGCAAATGGTAGTTTGATTGTGTAGGAAGCTATGAGCTTAAAAATACACTTTTTCGAATCTGTTCCTGGAATTAACCTGTTCAAAAACACCTTTTAATATTTAAATTAAAAAACATTAACATAATCAATCAATATAAATTATAAAAATTCTCATTCATGACTGTTTTTGAATGATTTAGTTACATCATAAAAACAACAACAATAACAACAACCTAAAATTGATAATGAATCAAGATGGGGTGGTTAAAATGGCAACATGGTATCTTTCGACTTACCTTTGACAGTTTTTGCTGGAGCAACTTGACATTTACACAGTGGACACAATTTGCAAGCGACTGGAATCTAAAATTAATGTATCATAATATAATATAATCATTCTGTCACACTCTCTCAATACCAAATTTAAGCTGAAAATTGTCTTCTTTTTTATTATTATAAAACTCTCGTGTCAAGAAAACAAACAAAACCATTGTCTTTTCAAAACATTTTTCGTACATGTGAACTTTTTTGGATGATCAAGTGGGAGATTTTCTTCAAAAAGAGGGAGATTTTAGAATTTGTTTATTCAAAGTTTATTTAAAGTTCTGACATCAAAAATTGAGAGATTTCTTTGATTTGTGAAAATACCTCTTATTTTAAGAAAAATCTTTGAAAATATGGCTGCAGAAAGTGGGAGTCTTCCGCTAAAAGTGGGAGAGTTCACATTTATGATGTTTGTTTGGTTTCGATGCTAATTCTAACACACTTTAATGTCATACATCATTAGTCAGTCCACCTTGCCAGCTTTCCTGGATAAATAACAATTGTCACGGAATAATTTAACCTCACTCGATGTACTACAATTTTCATACCATCATGATGCGCACAATCATGAAAATTTAAATGATATGTGAATGAATGCACAGGAAATCCTGGTCAGTAGAGAGTATTGAAACAACATGAAAACGCAAAATCAATGCGAGTGTTTAAGCAGCTTTTTATGGAAAAATAAGAACAAATATGTCATTAAAGTCTTAAATGGTCAGAATTGTCAACAATGAAAACAGTTTGAAAGTTTCTTAAGACTGTTCACATCTGTGAATGCATTTCTTAGTTGGGGGTCAACTTGCTTCTTGTATTGTACACCAGGCCATATATTTTTATATATGTAGCATTTATTAAAATAAGTTATTTAAACAAGTTAATTTACCCAACTGATTATCATCTTAAAAGGGTTAATTTATGGTGAGCCATCATTAAAATGGGTCATTTTTTAAAGCTGATAAATCACAAGTGGGGGTAAATTGTGATAAATTTATTCATTAATTGCTAAGTCCCACGTCTACTAACTGACACATATCAAAATTTTCATCATGGAAAATCTCAGAGGAAAAGAAAAATTTGTTACCTCTTCTCCACATTCAGAGCATTTCTTCACCACTTTGATATCAGATGTACCTGTAAGGTATTTGTACTCGTAATACTATAAGCAGTCACCTTACATTAGGAAATCAATGCTAAAGGTAATCTCTAACACTTAAACAATTATACATATATTTCAATCATACAGAACAATATCTTAAAGAAGCATGCCTCCAGATTCATGTTTTCATGAAAATTTTAGAAATGTATTTGAAAGTAAAATATTGTGAGGTGATGAAAAATAGTAATTTAAATATTGCAATCAGCACTTACAATCCTAGAAAATTACCAACAAATGGTCAACATATGCAAAAACAGCCCTTACTGTGTTTAGTTACGCAGTAGAAATATTGTGATAAAATACTGTAACCCAATGAATATTCGCGACCAATTAATATTCGCTTTATTCGCGGATGGCCACGAAGCGCGAATATTTGTTTGCGCGAATAAGTTTGCACGATTTCGCGAATAAATTGGGAGAGAAATTTTTATTTTAGACGTTGTTCATGCAAAGCTACTTGACCGGATATATTCGAATTTTATGGGCACCTGTTAGGAAGTAATGAATTGTTATGAATATTGCCATAAAGCAATAAAAACACAAACTAAGTAAACTACTACTATTTTATAAATATCAAAAGAACTCTATGTCAATATAGCAATCACTATTTCATTTACATTTAAAGTCATAATTAATTGATACAGTGTTCGAATATTTATAAAGAACGTATAATTCACTCATTTTGGACATAAGTCAATCAACACCCTAAATAGATTAACTTTATAAAAACAGCTAAACATGTTACAAACATAATCATCATTATGACACGTGCTTCTGAGCAATTATCGTCTAGTTTGTGTTTTTCACATGTCTGAAGGGAACAGACGAAAGAAAACTATTAGTCGAGAAAAACAAAGTATAATAGTGTGATACCCACCCTTTTAACGACATGTTTAGAAATGAAGACGAACGATGCGTACATGTACACATATAAATAAAGAATATAGAGAAAATGTTTTGCTGAATTGTGATCACAATTCACTTACCAATACAATATATAAGGCTAGCGTATTGTTAATCCCATTTTAGACACTAATAATGACCTCAATTATTGAAGATTAATAGTCGGCTAGTGGATTTTACGGTCCCATCGGACTTTCCAATCCGCGAATTTTTTTTTTCGGAAATCAAGAAAACGCGGAAATTAATATTTGCGAATATGTCAGACCTCTGCAAAACGCGAACATTTGTATTCGCGAATATAAATTGGGTTACAGTACTTCAAAATCAGTCTTAAACCGCGCATAACATGTAAAATTTAACTTGAACCCTGAATGTTTTTACCTTTCTTAAAATTTTAGTAAATTTTTCTCAATATGGAATTTCTTGAAATATTTAAATTAGGCTCATCTGGAGGCATGCTGCTTTAATTTTGAAAGATGTAGTATTTTTATAAAAAGAGCACACCAGGTTCAAAATTATGTTTTCATTTAAAATACATCTACATGATCTTTAGATTATAAATTACAAAAGTTCTTAATTTTGGATTATCTTTTGAATGACTAAATTACATCAGAAAAAACTCAAAACTGAATATGCAAGATGCGGTGATTAAAATTGAAACATAATATCTTTTTGCTTACCTTTTGGAGTTTTGACAGATTTTGCTGGAGTTACATAACATTTACACAGTGGACATAATTTGCAAGCAACAGGAATCTAAAATTAAGAACCATAATATAATTATTTAGACCGTGTCTCTCATTCAATTATAATAAGAAACTTTAACTTGTTTTTTAACTCCTTTTTTGTTGCATCTCAGAGGTCAGTCAACTCACCAGTCTTCCTGGATAACTATTAAACCAAACCTAAAACGAAACTTCTCTCAAAGTGACCAATAATTATCCAAAATGATTTCTGAGACAATGGAAAATAATCAATAATCATGCTTTTAAGATATAAATATTTTATTAATTTTATGAATGATAAAAAATGTGATAAAGGAAATTATAAAGCCCTGTATTTTTTGTACCAACAAGTTGTACACTACTAAAACTTAAATGTAAGCAGATGAATGCATAGATTGTTTGTTTGTTTGTTTCATTTTACGCCTTTTCCCAACAGTATTTCAGTCATAAAGGCGTAAGATGAATGCATAGAAATTGCTAGTCATAAAAACACATTTAAATATAACAATATGCTGAAGCAACAACAAATTAAGTACTTTACTTTACATCAGACCATACAATTAATAAATTTACAAATGTATATAAACAAATATCAAACTAGTCTAAATAATTAGACTTGTCAAAGAGACATGAAGATAATTATAGTCTTAGACAGGCGATCTTTTTCCAAGTCCAACCACAAACTGCTTTTGTTGTACATGGACATTGCCCAATTACTGAATTAGAAGTTGTTAACTAAAAAAGAAACGACCCACTTTACCAGATACTGGCTGATAGATATCTGTTTTTTTAAACAAATTCCCAATATTTCATTTTTCAATAAAGACTTGAAGACACAATCCCAATTCATTAATCTCTCAATGGTAATAGGCTTTTCAATCTGCCATAGTTAATGATTTTATAGTAACTGTATAACATAACATAACATAACATAACTTTTATTCGACATTAATTTAAAATTGTAACAACAAAATTATACGCGGAAAGTCCGAGCGGGGCCGAAGGCCCCGCGAATGCTGTAGCGCTCTTAGATAACATGTATGACGCGTATCAATTGAAATGAAATCAAATTGAAAGTAAATAAAAATTTCAAAAAAAATATATATCCTATACCTAATGAGCTGTAAAAAAATCCTTAGTTATTGGGGCGCCGCCATTTTGAAATTCTTTTGAGCTTAATATAGATATCAGAGCGCTTTTAATGAGCGTCTACAAAATCCAGACCATTGCTAGCAGACGCATGCTAAATAACACTTCCGGTGAAAGAATGATGTGCAAGATCAGAAAAAAAAAACATTCATTTCATTGATAAGAACTATAGTAACGATTATAAATATAAAATGTTACTTTAACATATCCTTTTTGATAAATTAGGACATTGAAAATAACGTTAGAACAACTGGATTAGAGATTAACAAAAATGGCCGCCCAAAAATGGCGGACAGGATTTCTCCACACGCCGACGCATGCGCAGTGGTAGGTTGAACACCACCAATTTATTCGTTTTGTTTACGTTAGAAAATACCGTAGAAAATACTACTAATGAAGTGCAAAAAAAGATCTGGTTTACATGAACACTAAACATGTTATGCTAAAATCATAATTCATAAGAGCTTTCCGCGCAATAGGTAGCACCTAATTTCATATTAGTCGATTTACATCAAATAGTGCAAAAGTGAGACACGTGAATTCCTAACCTAGAAATATATATATGTTTACAGAGAAGTTCATTACATGACGAATGTCAATCATATTAGAATAAAATATGTATTTGGTAATTATATGTAAATAACATAATCATTGTAACGTATTGTCGGGGCGAGAACTCTGCAAGTGTGTATTAGGTTATTTTTGCGCAAGTTGTTTCCCTTTCATTGCAAAAGTGGTTATCCCGCTTATATGCAGTCAAAACATTACCCCTCTAATTTCCAGTGTCCTCCGGTCTCTGTTGGCCTGCAAATATTGGAGACCAGCAAACTACTGTACATGTTTTTATTAGTCTTTCTCTCTAGTATTTGCCGATCTAGAGAGACCAGAGAAGACTGAATTGGCCATTTTTATTTTATTTCAAGTTATCAAGGAGTTGATTTTTTTCACTATGTCATAACATGTCCGTGAATGATATAGCTGGCAGTACAAATTTAATATAAATCCCTTGCAATTGCATACATTAAAAAACTCATTTTTTATAAATTACTGAGATATTAGTACACATGTAACAAAATATATTCGAATGATTTTTCGAAGAACTGAAATTCATATGTGTATAGGCTAGTTGTATCTAACTTAGCCTACATACGGCTAGAACTTTTACCTTGTGATACCTTGTGATGTTTGGGAAACTTTATTAGTCCCCTAACGGACCACTTACAAACTTGCTTGCATGATTTCAGTCGGCCATATTCCCTAGCTATGAAAGATAACTCCCTGTTTCCCTGTCTAAAATCCAACCAAATTATTCCCCTTTCAAATGAACTTATAGAAGGGACCTTTTAAAAAGACTTTGTACTTATTTATTTGATTTTTTGTTCAGAAACGGACAATTTTTTCTTTACCTTTGTTTAATTTGCTTTCTATCTATATATGGTTTCTATGGTAAACATATGAGTTTTGATGGTAAACAAATGAATTTTCTGAACCGAAAGTAATCTAACACACAGCGTTGCTGTCATCACATGTAAACAATACATTAAATCGGTAAGAATATTGAGATATTTGTTTGACTATCAGTTATTAATATAGAAAACAACTATGTGTAGTTTTTGTGTATTGTTTTAATGTGTTTGTCTGATATTTTAGTTGTAAAAGCCATGTACGCTTAGTGCCGCTTCATAGCAACCGAGTTTAAAACGTGAGCGGAAACTGAACGAGATATGGCAAAGTGCATGCTCGCGCACTGACTTCCGCTCTATCGAAATACTGCATATACGTATAGCGAAAGTTCGTAAGTGCGGACTATCATTCCCCTCGAGTTCCGTTTTCAGTGTCGTCCGCTCCGGTATTGGTCTATCTAATATATATTGTCCATTTTAAGTCTCTTCCATTGCCAGTGTTTATCTAACTTAGATTTGAACTTGGCTAGCAGTACGGGTTCTAGCCATATGTGAGTCAGGTCACTGCCTAGAAATAAGCTCTGTACAATGGGTCAAAATATTCATACAAATTAATCAGACTCAAGTGCTAGACTTACAATATTATAAATATGCTAATTTTGAATTTTCATGAATTTGCACAGTGCACAAACCTGCAAACATGCCAAAGAAACTTCGATAGAATACCTTTGGAAAAAAAGTCAACATTACCTGTTGTTCACACTTAGTGCATTTCTTTACTACTTCACGACTCATTTTGATAAAGTGTGTTCAAATAATTAATGACAAAAACATGCAATAAACAAAGAAAATAAAAAATTGTCTGCAAATTACAATTGCAAAGTATTAAAAACGCTTGGAGTACCAAGCTCTTTATTGAATGGAAGAAATATACAATGAACCCAAAGATTTATTTTCGGCGGCATATTTTCGGCCCTTTCTGTCAACGCCTTCATATGTATACAAATTAACGAATTAAAAAAATATGTTCATAAAGATATTTTGTATCTGAATTCTAATGGAGTTTAATAATGTAAAGACATTTCCCTTTAAATATAATACTAGGAAAGTCAATCTTATTATGTAATAAAAATCTGGAAGAAAATTGATCCCTCGGTTCGAAGCATTAACCACAACAAAATTACATGAAAATTGAAGACCCGGTTTGATTGAGTCTGTACATGAGGGATAATGAGTAAGTGCAACATCCCCCATGCCCCTTGCACCGGCATGAGCGGTACTCAATTTTCAACACTTCAACGTGCTGGAATCAATGATCCCGAAGACAGACTATTCTTCCATTTTCTAGTTCTTACCGTGAGGTTCTGCCCCAAACTATTTACTCCCCAGACAGTTCTTTCTCAAATTTGAAACATGCAGTCAGTTCTCCACCAAAAGTACTTTCTATCTTTTATCTTCTTTCATTCTTTTTCTTACAAAGGAACTTTATTGTTATTAATTTCTAACAAGAGAATTATAGCAAATAGTGTGGACAACATTTTTATATATAATATTATATCAACAATATGACTATTAAGGAAACATTTTTAAAATGTATTAAAGTACAGTATGAAAGCAAGTCTTTGAAAATTAGTCAAGAACTAAACATCAACAATGTCTTAAAGGTCCCCTTTTCGCCCTTACAGCCCTTATCTCTTTAATTCCCACATCCGTTTTAGTTTATATTATTTCACACATTACATGTCATTCTCCTTTCGCCGCCCTTATGTCCACTCCAGGTTTTTGTCGGTTTTTTCCTGGGTGCCCTACTTGGGGGTGTCGGGGGCTACGTCCTGTGAACGTTGCCTTTACCTTGTTGATCTTTATTCTTATTGTTTTTAAAGGTCAGTGGTCAACTATTTCATGAATGTGATTGGTATTACTTGCAATAAAAACATTCCTGGAGATCCTGTTTAAAAAATGTTTGAAATTGATGTTTTCTGCCAAGAAAGTATCTATACTTTTTAACACTTCATTTGTTTAAATAGTTAGTTAAGTGGTAAAATATATTTTCGGGTATGTCACCAAAAATTATCTTTTACTACAAATATATATATTAAAGATATACAATAAATAGTAAAATACAGTTTATGGAATGAAAAATGAAACATAACATTAGTTACACATGTTCAGAAATAATAACTCATATTGTGTGGTAATATGCTATTAAGATTCTCAATTTCTTATTTATATTGTAAATTGATGATTATATTAATCAATAAGTATTAAATAATACATAAGACTTAAAATGGGGAGAAATAGTCTGCACACATGCAAACAGGTTTACCATAAAATAGGAGGAGGATAGTGAGTGAGGATACTTCGGGGGAGGGGGACTGATAAGGGGTATTAACCGGATATTCTGACTCAAAGTATGTCCAATAACACGTTCAAACGTATGAGCAGTCATTTCAAAAAAGGAACCAAAGAGTTAATGTACAGTGTAGTGGATTATACCAGCCAGTGGAACAATATAATTAAGGGCTTCCCCCAGGATCAATATTAGGTTCCCTGCTCTTCAACATATTTATTAATGATACTTCATAAATAAATTCACTTTTTATAATTATGCTGATAATAATACTCTGTCCAACTGGCTTAAATGATGCAGAATTGTTTTTAATCTAATCAAATGCAGGCACACATAGAAATGTTTCAAACTATTTCAGTGTGATGACATACTGAAATTAAAGCATTCGATGTAAGTGAGAACACTGTCTCCTGTGATGAACAGGACACATTACGCAAAGTAGATATAAGCCATTTTCTAAAGGGCAGCAAAACTGTTAAATGTTCTTCAAAGATTAAGTTGAAGCTGATCTATAAGCTACAAAGCCTAGGTGTTCGTCCCAAGGTATTGACCTGGTTCAAATTCTTTCTGTCAAATCTGTGATGACGGGTAGGTGAAGTTTTTCGCTTGTCCATTGTACTCCGAGTCCATCCTGGAGTTCCAAAGAGGTCCTTAGACTTCCCCTATTCGTGGCTTAGATAATAGCAGAGCAGACTCTTTCTAAATTGGACCAGATTGTCTGCTGATGACATTATTTGTTACCGTCCGGGAAATGGGAAAAGTCTGGATTACCGATAAATGCTGTACAATACTGAATTGAAATTAACTATAGAAAAAAATACTAATGTATAACCATTTCTTCACCTTTTAAAGGTCAGCAGCCGGGTATGTCATGTAAGACTATAACAAAACAATGGAATGGAATGTAAAATGTTACAAAGGCTAAACAATTCTGTCAAACAACCATACAAAATTATTTAAACAATTATTGCAATATACAATTATAGCCGCCATAGTCTTGTCTAGCTACACGTTATTAGAGGCTGCTTCCCGTGAACGATACTCTCACTTGTTGATCTTGTCACAATTTCATCCCACGCTACGACATTATACTTTAACCAGCATTACAATTTGTTTTCAGGAACATGTTTACTTCTTTAGATCATTCGTTAGAAAGAGAATCCCATTACCGTTTTGAAGGTGACTTTTGTGTTTCGTCAAATAAATATAATTATTATACATTTAACACATTTAAAACATTTTTTTTTATTTTCTGTATACCTAAGACATTTGTCAAACTACAAGACTTAGTGTCGTATAACTTTAGAAGGAAGCTGGTAAAATAAGATTAAGCTACTTTTAATAAGATAACCGCCGTTGCTTTAGTGCTACATTCACGAATTCCGCGTTACGTCGTAAAATTAGTCTCAATTAATTACGTTTTATCTGCTAAATTATGTGTAATATGACACAAGTAGATTGGAAAATGTCTCAGGTACACCATATATAAAAATCATAAAGTAATATGTATGTTATTGCATTTAAAGACATCAGCGAGACTAAAAAATCGCCGTCAGGTCGTCATTTTCACAAATGATCTTGAAAAATAAACATTTTCATGGAATTTTTTTTATGAGGTTTAAAGTATTATGTCTCAGCAACTGTATGCGCTAACATTGATTTCTTCCATTGCCGTGTACAATCAATAAAATATTATTAAGTTCTCGGAGAATTCAGGCATACTAGTTCAAGATATTCATAATGCACAATAATCTTCACACTTAACTTCGTAGGACCCCTACATATACCTGGTCAATTAACAATGTCCATTTGTTTCTTCGCGTCATGTTTGTATGTTCCCGCGTATTGCATAAGGGGCCAGTTAAGTGTCAAATTGCTAATCAGCGATGCGTGTTTTTTTTTTTTTTTTTTTTTATTTTTGTTTACTCATTTTTACTCATTTTGGCCAAAATATTGGTCCGGCCAAGGCCGGACCGGCCGGACCATCGACGACGGCCTTGATGGTGTGGAATAAATGTATGAAATATAAATACCCTCTTTCGAAACAACTATTACCCTAACTCCTTACCAAGAACTATAAGATTCTGAAATTCCGATCCTAACCCATATTGGTCTAACCCCAGTCTCTGATTATTCTTTGTGAGGATGGTGGTGGTTTGCCTTTAAATCTATCTTTGCTTTTAAGTTTTAACTGTACATAGTGAACTTTTACTTCCTACCATATAAAATCATTCAAATTTTATACTCATAATGCCGCCGATTATAGATCTTTGGGTTCATTGTTGATGATAATTTTTCAAAAAGGCGCTTGGTTAAATATTTCAAGCGTTTCAATACTAGGAAGATTTTTTGTTTATTTTCTTTGTTTTATATTTGATTTTTGCGTCTATATATAAGTCTATTTGATCACAGTTGTTCAAAATGAGACGAAATTCAACAAAAACTGAACGTTCTAGGTCAGATTTTAAAGTGGTGAAGAAATGCACTGAATGTAGTAAAGAGGTAAATTTTACGTTTTCTCTAAATTTTGCATGTTTTGCAGGTTTCTTGTGTCACGGTTCAGAACTGTTCACTATTTAGATGAGAAGATGTGTAAACGGCTGGATAGCTAAATCGGTAGAGCCACGGTAAGGTATTCCGAGAATCCCGGGTTTGAGTCCAGGCCAGTCTGCACATTTTTCTCACTCTGTGACATTTGGCGCCGAACGGATATAGCTCAGAGTTTAATTCACATAGCTCTATAACTCTGTGAAACCGGCGGCACGAAATACCCAAATACACCCAAATATACCCAAATATTGCCCATATATACCCAAATATAGCAATAATCATTTTTGTTTGTATAAAATACAGATTATGATGAGAAAATGAATTAATATTTATAACATTGTATGACTTAGGCAACTATAACTTTCATTCATTCAGATGTTGTAAGACAAAATAAAAATAATCTTGTGACATTGGCTTATTTAGGTTCATTAATGAATATACTAGCAATATATGATAAAGATATGATAAAATTTGTTGTCTACATTTTTTTAGTGTATTACTTTGTTCAAATTTCATACAAGTGTCCATCGTATTATTTTCTTTAATTTAATTTTAATATAGCTTTAATGGAGTATACTGTATTTGGGTAGATTCTATATTTTGGTGATAGGAAAGTGTATAAATGGGTATGTATGGTTTTATCTTATTCTTAGTGAACGTTTATATTGTAATTCATAATAAAAACAGCACTTTTTGTTATTAAACATTTATTTTTAGTATATTTGGACGTTATTTTTAGTATATTTGGACAATATTTGGGTATATTTGGGTATTTCGTGCTGCCCCTGTGAAACAGAGGATGAATTTCAATATAGCAGGGGAGTATGTCACGGTTCACCATATAGACGTGTAAGCCTTTTTACTTACCTTATGTACAAATCTTTACGTACTACGCAGCACTTGTCAATAAATATAATCTTCGCCTCCAGGCATAACTTAAACTGAATTGGTGACTAAACAGTTACTGCCGATAATTGACCGCAATTAACACCTTTAAGAGACATGACATGCAGATTAATCGGACATAATTGCCCTCTAATTTGCCGATGAAAATTCACGAATTCGAAAACCTAGCTAAACACCGTTTTCCGGTACTTTCTGTACATAGCTCTTGGGAATTCACCTAATGGAGTGTAATAGCGAACTCGATGTTTTCGGCCTTTTTTTAAATTAAATTGAAATAAAACAGTTATTTCTTTATAAGAAAATAATTAAATATCATTGTATGAATAATTCCATACAAAAAGTAAAGTAAATACACAAGAAAATATCCTTGTTTATTATGGAGGATTCCACTACGTCTGTTTGAATTTTATTGATTTTCATTATAAATAATTTATTTTTTTGAATAATTTGCAATAGATATTAAAGGAATATTGATAATTTTCAAAAACATCAATTTTTTCACCTTAAACGCTTAAATAATGATAGAAAAATAGAAATATCAGGTAACTGTGTTATTTACTTCATTTGGTGTAATTCCCCACAGCTAAAACGGTAACGGTCCGGAAAACGGTGTTTAGCTAGGTTTTCGAAAAGGTCAATATCACAATTATTTGAGCATAATTTAATTTATACGACACTTGCCACTTTTAAATCAGCAATTTAAAAAGTTTACAACCGCACTCGGTCTTACTTTATTTGACAGTTATTACACACAACGTCACACTGAACGTGTTAAATTACTTGCATATAAATTAATACACAACAGCAGCACAAGTAAATGGCTTGACACAGTTATGTTTGCATCAAGTTAAAGTCGGCGGCACCTTTGATCTTCTTTGAATAGCAGTAGCAAAAGAACAGATTCACAATTGGTAAATAACTAAATTCATTAAAACTGGATCATATAAACACCTGTTAAAATGTGATGAAAGACTATAGAATTAATCTGTTTTAACATTACAACCTGTAATTTTTAGCTCGACTTTTCTATGAAAAGGGGAGCTATCCTACTCGCCCCGGCGTCGGCGTCGGCGTTGGCGTCACACCTTGGTTAAGTTTTTCGTACCACCCCACTTTATTTCAGAAGTATTACAAGTATGGCTTTGAAACTTACCATACTTGTTCACCATCATAACCTCCATCTACAGACAAGAGTACATAACTCTGTCAAGGTTTTTGACAGAATTATGGCCCTTTTTTGACTTAGAAAGTGTATTGAGCTTGGTTAAGTTTTTGTACCACCTCACTTTATTTCAAAACCATTGGAGGTATTGCTTTGAAACTGACCATACTTGTTTACCATCACGACCTTCATCAACAGACAAGAGGACATAACTCTGTCAAGGTTTTTGACAGAATTATGCCCCTTTTTGACTTAGAAAATACATTGAATATGGGTAAAATCCACTTATTGCCTTAACCCTTTGAGATATTGCTTTGAAACTTTTAATGCTATTTCACATCATTACCCCCATCTGTACGCAAGAGAAGGTAACTCTGTCAAGGATTTGTTTTAAAAATTAAGGTCTTTTATCGACTTAGAATCTTGGTTAAGTTTTTAGTACCAGTCCACTTTTTGACTGAACTGTTTGAGATATTAATTTGAAAGTTGGAATACTTGTTTACAATCATGATTCCCAAACATGTCCAGGAGAAGGTAATTCTGTCAAAGATTTTATTTGAATTATGGCCCTTAACTGTCAATGTTTTGTATTATAGGCAAGCACTAAAAAACTTAAAAAATCTAAAAAAATTCATTCCTATCCACTTGTTCACTTTACCATAAATTATGTCATATAAACATTGCTGTAATATTCAAGGGTATCAAACAACTAGTTCACTTTAAAAATACAGAGATTCTTGTATTGCCTTTTACTGCAAAAACTTTTTTTATTGGCAAGCAATAAAAAAGTCGAGCGCGCTGTCTTACGGACAGCTCTTGTTTATTGTTTTGTGTGTACTTTACTCAAAACATTAATCTATAAAAAAAACCAATGAACATAAAAAAAAACGGATTTAATAAATGGAAAATAACTTTGATTTTTTAGGAAATCATGATTTTTGGTTTTTAACTTTTATTTCATTGAAAAGACAGAGCATCAGACGATCACCACTCGATTTCTGTCCATTCATTTTAGGCCGTAACCCCATTATGTCTTATTATTAATGCAATATAATACTTGTTGAATTAAAATAAAAAAATCTGTATTTGTATTACATAAAAAAATCTGCATTTGTAATCCTATTATGTACATCTTTTATATATATAATTCAAATATTAATATATCTGAGTAAATAGATAAAACATCTTTTTATAGATCAAATCAATGTGCCTAGCACTTTTTCACTTCTCCCTATGTCTTCAAACTTCTCTTTGATAGGAGCTGAAGGAGGAGTCACTTCTCCCTAAAATTTTGTTCTAGCTAGAGCCCTGTGTTCAAATGTATACAAATCCGCACACCTGCCTTCAAAATCAACTTTTTTATTCCATTTCCAATATTTTCACATAACCCTTGATTCTATCGACACAGAGCATATTATTCTACATTTTAAACTTCATCTTTAATATATACAAACAACACAACAGGCAAAATTAACATCAAAACTATTGCCGATTTACGCAATTTAAATAAATCATTTGACAAATTCAAACATGGCTCCCAACAACAGTCAAAATAAACAACAAAACTATCACTGTTAACTTCATTTTAAAAAAAATCTTCTGACAAATAAAAAAGTGAATATGGGAACCAGTCTAGCTAAAGTCGGAGCAATTCAGTAAAATGTTGGTTCCCATTTTCAAAGCACCCCATTCAGGCACACAATGCTTTAAAAAGATAACAGCTCTGTTTGTTTTCATGATGTATAGGTTTAGTAAAAATACAATGTACAAAATGATTAATAATATGGTGATACTTTAATTTTAGATTCCAGTAGCTTGCAAAATGTGTCCACTGTGTAAATGTTACGTAACTCCAGCAAAATCTGTCAAAACTCCAAAAGGTAAGCATAAAGGTACTATGTTGTAATTTCATTTTCATTTAAAGTTATCCAGTAAACCAGATGTTGAGATATGACTGGCAAAAATGATTTATAGTCTGCATTATAGAACGGAATAAATGTTTCTTCGCTTTTTGCAACCAATTCTGAAAACTGCTTTAAACTGTAGATTTACGCCACTAATAATTACAAGGCTATTATTGCTTTTCAAATCGAGCAATATTTGTCTTGGAAATGATGCCGCAAATAATGTTCAGGTCACGTGTGGTATTGCCACACTGTGTTTTGAGCTGGTAAAAATTATTCATACATGTAATAATAAGATGTTTGAATTGTTAATTATCATATATGTATATAAAAAAAGATCATAATGAAAAAGGCATGTAGTTTATACAAATTTATTTTAGTTGGATTGTGTTGGAAGATATAAGCTTATTGAAACACTCTTGAATCCAATTCTTGAACCAACCAGTACTAAGCAATGAATGTAAAGTTTCCTGCTCAAGGAAACAAAGGCTTGCCTCTGACAGGGTTTAAACCCACATGGTCAGCAATCCTTAGATTGCTAGTCTGACATGTTAACCACTCTGCCAGGCCAACACACATAAAAAGGCATTTATTGTAAGTTGTATTGAACTAACTAACATAATTATTGGACTATAATTTTCCTATTTTTTAGATGATGACAAAGAGGTTGATGCTAAGATACGAAGGACAGAAAGAATTCGTAGAGAAAGACCCGACTTCTTTAATGCCATGAAAGTTGATAATCAGTTTAAAAAGAAAAGGAAAAGAAAAGAGGTATGGTCGATAAACTGAGAATTAAAATTAATGTCAGTATAAATCATTCATAAAATCTGTTTTCATAAGTTTAGTTTTGACATTTTATTAGTTGATTACAATATGTCAATAGATTCTGATCTTTTATCCCTGATTTAGGCACATGAGGAGCTTTAAGTGCTTTTATCATCTATTTGAATAATAATAAAAAAATGAAAGTTCATCATCAAGAGATACTAGTAGTCATGCTCTTTTCATTTTGTTGAACAGTCCAATAACAAAATATTGCTTAAGCACTTATTTCTCACCACACCTTATTATTTACTACTTGATGGAGCCTCCATGGCTGTGTGGCTACTGTCACTGACTTTGAATCACTTGTACCCAACTGCTGTGGGTTTGAATTTGTAACAATACTAAAGATTTCATATGAGTATGCTATCCAACTAGCTTATGGAAGGTTGGTGATTCTAATTAGGTGCCAGCTTGTGCCAGTAATAATGCTCAAAAGGGAACCCTGGTTTTTTCCACTTTTTGTGCCCCCACGTAAGTGGCGGGCATTTAGATTTACCCTCGTCTGTCCGTCCTTCCGTCCGTCCGTTCACTTTTGTGTCGCACGTAACTCAAAAAGTATTTGACCTAGAGTCATTAAACTTTACAGGAATGTTGATCAGCATGTGTAGTTGTGCACCTGGGTATTTTCGTGTGGATATTTTTAGTATTTTCAGAGTTATTGCCCTTGACTTAGTAAAATTTTGCAATTTTCAACTTGTGTCGCACGTAACTCAAAAAGTATTTGACCTAGAGTCATGAAACTTTACAGGAATGTTGATCAGCATGTGTAGTTGTGCACCTGGGTATTTTCGTGTGGATATTTTTAGTATTTTCAGAGTTATTGCCCTTGACTTAGTAAAATTTTGCAATTTTCAACATGTGTCGCACGTAACTCAAAAAGTATTTGACCTAGAGTCATGTAACTTTACAGGAATATTGATCAGCATGTGCAGTTGTGCACCAGGTATTTTCGTCTGGATTTATTTAGTATTTTTAGAGTTATTGCCCTTCACTTAGAAAATTTTTGCAATTTTCAACTTGTGTCGCAAGTTACTCAAAAAGGATTTGACATAGTCATTAAACCTTATGGGCAGGTTGCTCAGCATATTTAGATTTGCACCTGGGGTTTCGCTTGTGGATTTATCCAGTATTTGTAGAGTTATTTCCCTTGACTTAGTAAAAAGATTGACAGAACAGTGGCGCGGTGGGGGCACCCGTGTCCTATGGACACATTTCTAGTTTAGTCTAAAGCTAGAAAGACACAATATGACCTGTGCCTGAAAACTCAACTAAAAATAAAAGTAACAACAGGATGACCAGAACCCAAACTATGGATAGATTTTTCAAAATCTTACTTGATATAAACATTTAAAACCTTTCATTACATTCAACATAACTATATACCAGGGTATCTGAAAATTGTAACTCTCCTACCATGAGCTCACAAGTATTTGAATTTTGATTAAATAAAATTTGCTCATGAAAATATTAAATATTATTTTGTCAGAGTACAGCCAGTATATCTAGTATTGGTAGCACAAGTACAGCACCTAAACCTACCACAATCCCAGTGAAGGTTCCCACAGATGATGCTGATGCTCCAAAGAGAAGAAGAGGTCGGCCGAAAAGTGTTGCTAGTGTATGTGCTAGTATAGATCCTTCAGATAAAGGTTAGTGTTTAATTTACTTAATAGTTATCTTAGTTACTCAGTTTTGGTTACACTAAAGTCGTATACAATATGGAAGCCTGGTCATCATTTTCATGAATGATCTTGAAAAATAAACTCTTCTCTTGAAATATTTTATATTGGTCAATGAAGTTGAAATGTTATGTCTTAGCAGCCGCAACATATTTGAGTTTCATTAAATTTTATTTACTATAATATATATATTAGTCTATTTCCTTGTCATAGTGCTTTCATCTGACATATATTTGCACAGATTTGGTGTAACTTTTGCACATTCCTGCATTACCGGATAAGAATATACACATCATGGCATTTGTATAAAACTCTGGTTATAACCAAAGTTTTATGTGCAACTTCTTTTGCAATTTCACTGCAACTTCACACATGTCTTACACATATATAGTTCAATGTCTTAGACATACGAGGGTTGTCCCAATATTCTGTGACAAGATTGTTTAAAAGCTAAATAAAACAGGTACGAATTTGATATTTTAATATGTTATAAACCCATATAATTTAAACATTTTCACAAATTTTCATAGATAAATATCAACAAACAACAAAAATATGCCATAAACACCATGGCAACTAACTGAATCGCCGCGCACGTCCAACGTCAAAGATGGCGTTAAATCCATATAAGGCGCCTTTCTCAAATACTCTCAATGGCTTTCAACGCAATAATTGTACCCATAAATCGTCAATTTCTGACTTAAATCATGTGGTTGTTAATGTCTGTTGAATGTTTGGATGGCATACATTAATTTTTGCTATACGCGAACTTCCGGTCTCGTTACTCCTGTTTTAGCTGTAGGAAATAGGCGACGAAGATCGGTCTTCCTATCCGTGTTTTCCTTATTTTCGCTTTTTGTAGCGCAAAACTCTGGTTCCGTTCATGCCTTTTGTACACAAATGCTCAGAATATGTTGCTAAACTGTTATATTTGGTATATTTGTTGAAAATCGTTACATGTGTCATCTCTAAATAGTCATGAAACCCGAGTGACATGTTCTTAGCGCCGCAAATTCTTCGAACGTCGTCATTTTAACTTTCCTATGTTATATGAGATATTTTCATTTATTCGTATCTTTTTCGTTTTTTAAGTTATTTAACTAAAATTTTTAGAGATGATTTAAACATAGCAGAAGAGGTAGTCAATGTGACATTGTGCAGACACATCATCAGATATTTGAAATATACGTAATTAATTTCAGCCTATTCATAACAAAATGTAAATTATATGACGTGCGCCGGCAACTCAAACCAATGTCGTTTATACTGAAAATTTCCAAGTAACTAGGGTAATTTTTTTGTAAATGATTTGTTGTAATGTTAAATAATAAACTTAACGGTTATATGTGTGAATTATTTTCTTTTGGCGTTAAAAATGAACCGGCTATAAAATTTGTCACGGACTTTTGGGACAACCCTCGTACATAGTTCAAAGTCTTACACATACATATTTCAAAGTCTTACACATAACTAGTTCAAAGTCTTACACATATATAGTTCAAAGTCCCTAGGATGGATTTTGATTGAATTATGGCCTGTTTTGATTTTCCTGTGTCATGTATTTTGAAAGAAATATTCTTCCCTTTAATTAATACAGTATCCATTATTTTGTTTTACTATCAAGCACTGAAAATTAGTTGAGCACTCTGTGAAACTGAAAGCTCTTCATATTTATGTCTTGGAGTTATTGTCCAATCACCAAAGTTGTTTCTTATCCATGTCCAGGTTCAGAAACAAAATCACCTCTACCAGAAGAAGACTGGTATGCCAACCTTCCACCAGAGAAATTCATGCAGTACAAGATAATTCTGGCAGAAATCAACAGGAAGTTCTCTACACAAAATTTCAAACCAGTCTGAGGAAAAAATGAAAACCAGAGCTTAATTTGAAACATAGACTGTGATTATTTCTTATGTAGAAATCATAGTGAAATTGACTATGTTCACTTTTGAAAAAGAGTTTTTCAAGGACCAAAATGTGTTCATTTAAAAACTAAGGAGAAATTGTCTTGCAGAAATGGTGTAAATCAGTGCAATATGTTAATTTAGTGGATGTTGAATATAATAATATAAGAGCCTGTTTTAACAAGATAAAAATGTGTATACTTATGAATATGCATAAATTTTATATATGAAAATGTATTCAGATATTGTATTGCCCAAGATGCATATATTTAACCGAAATTAAATTCCTGGAGAAAAGAACTATATTTTTTCTTGGCAACATTGTGAAAATGTTTACACATACATTGTTATGACTTTAAACTGTGTGTAAATTGGAGTATTTCACATGTAGAAATTTTGGCCTCTGCATAACTAGATGCACCTTTAATTTACATATCTAATTTAGTTACAGTTATTTTGATAAACAATGTATCACTATGTAACTAAAAGTGGAATAATCGGGTCATGATGTCAAGTTGTACACAGACACTTATAAAAACTTGTATTTCTTTGAGAAAAGTGTCATTTTTATATGTTTATGGACCAGAATGCGTTAGAGGATATTGCCAATTTATAGTATTTTTTAAGAGGGTATAAAACTATATCTATTGTAATGTTTGTTAATTTTATAATTGCATATGGAGTAATGTTGTTCAAAATCTTACGTTTTTATTTAGACATCAGATATATAACTTTTTACTTTTTGAAGGGATATCACTGAGGTTTTTTTAACATGACAGGACAGGAATTTAAAAAAAAAATTGTCCCACTTGACGAATAATCTTTTTAGAAAATCATTTGCTCAAGTTGAGGAACTAACACACAAATGAAAAGCATTCTAAAGGTTTTAATTCAAATCGGTTATGAATGACACAATTTTTTTGGGGGGGATTTATTAATTCTGAGAATATTTCTTTGTAACCTTGTGTACATTTTCTGTTTTAAGTGCCCAAGTAGATCTATATAGGAATTTTGAATTTTGTTTTCATATTTTTGGACCTCAGTGGAGCGCCTTTTAAGTTGGAAACTTTGTAACAGAATAAAATAGAAAGTGGTGTGTAGTATTTGTAAAAACATTTTTATGCTGTAGTTGTATATATTTTCTCTCTCAAATTTTGTTTTTGTGATAATTATATTGTTTATTGTATTGAAGATATTGATAAAACTTACATTTTGAAATAAATGGAATTTGAAAAGTTGTATAATGTATTCGCATTGTCTAATGTATTCACATTTTCTGCACACTTACTAAGTATTAGCCATTAAATTGTTGCATACTGAAATGTGTTTATATTCTAGGACAGGTTACTCAACAAACGCTAGGTGACTCCAATTTCTTTTCGCTCAAAATGTTTCTAAAATCATGCAAAGTTTAAATTGATTCTTTATTAAGAGAGTATTCATTCTGCCTATATGGATATATGAAAATTGTAGCTTACGGAGATTTATTGAAAACTGTTACATTACAAGGGCAAAAACCATGGACCTTTTTGCAAAAATACTTTTTAGTTTTGTCCCTTAGTTAAAAACTTGCTATATTCATCAGATATTTGAAGAGTATTCAGGGTCATACAAATATTTTTTAAAGATCCTAGTGTAATGCATGTCGTACGAAAGAACGCTTTTTAATTTAAGCAAATAAGTGGTTGAAGTGATATTTCGCCCAATGAAATCGTTTAATTTTAAAAATTCTTTATTACATTTAATTCATTAAATCAGCACCAATTATGCTGGTAAATCAGCGTACTGTATCATACTGTCACTGTGTACATATTCAAAACATTATTTCAAGCATTATGTAGGTAAGTGTCTGTTAAGGCAGTATTTATTCCGTTAAATCTGTCACTCTTAATATATATGCATTTAATGTTAAACTTTATTTCAAACTGCATATCTATTGGACAAAATATTTTCAAACACTAAATTTGATTAATGCTGGCTAACAAACATTAAACAATATTAAGTTATATCTAGACAACTAGAACAAAAACAAAAATGTTAACTTTGCTAGAAACATCACTATTCAAAATGATTAAGTTATGTAATCAAAGGAGTGATAAGTAACTATAATTATACACGAGTGCGTTTTGTAAGATGAAGAACATTTACTCAATATTGGTTTCCAAGCAGTTTAGACTAGAAACAGCATCACTTTCAAATTGTGAAAGCTTGCCTATGATTGACTGTTTGAAAGGTCATATGAAGATGACATCCTGTTGTTGCTTGTCAAATCCTATGCTTAGCATTAATTTGGAGCTGACTTTCATCAGATTGATTATGTGTTACATATAAGTTTATTCTCTGAATGTTCATTGTGACAATGGATTGTTTAAGCCACTAGTCTAGAAGTAAAAAGATACACCAGTTTGTCAAGTAAACGTTTTTAACAAAAAAAAACAAAAAAAAAACAAAAAAAAAAACAGTAAAAAACAACATTTAGACAACAACTGTCACAGTTCAAATTTATGTAAGATAGCTGAAACTACTTGTGTGCAAGTATGTTAAATGTTGGTGGCACTCTGTTTGTTATAAGCTTGTTATAAGCTCACCAAGGGTGTTTGTGCCTTACCAATCTGGATGATGGCAACTTTAATATTGTAATTGTTTCCAGTGAGAAATAGTTTCTTTGTTTACAGAGTTACTGTAAAGAAATAGTTTATTGTTTACAGAGGTACTGTAAATAACAGTCACCAGTTCTTAATAAGTACCAATAATAAGCACCATCTATCATACAAAAGTTAATCCCTGTACATTTGTTAATATTTTGTCTGTCTTTGAAGCAAAATTTCTTTCATTATTTTGACAGTTTGAAGAGTTTTATAAAGTTACTTTCTTTTAAAGCACGGTTGCTTGTGTACAATGTACATGTTTCAGCAGACCAGTAGACAGCTTGAGGGTATTTTATATCCTTTACAACAATCTGTCCTTCACTACAGTCTCCTGATATCTCTTCTATGGTATTGTTGTCTATACAAACAAACACAGTCCCATCATCTGACATTGTCAAGCCACGTGGACTGGCTGTACAAACATATTTACCTGTCACCTCACACTGCCAGTTTAACTTGGTAACTGTTTTTAATGAATAATCAGATACAAAGATACAATTGTCACTTGTTGTAATATAGTTTGGATTTTTGAAAATATTTTCATCTTGTATTGTCTGTAATACAGTGCCATTGATAAGAAGGATTTGAATTTTAGCTGGATTGAGATATGACACCACCATTTTATCTTTATGACAGCTTATACCATAACATTTTCCGTCAACCTGTAGAGTGTGCTTCTTCCTGAGATTATTTCTAGAAACAGAAAAGAACTGAATAGTTTGATGAAATGGCAATGTGACAGCAACTTCATTTTGTGAAACTGTTGTGACATCATAAGGTTCACTATCAAAGTTATGCTGAGCTTGAACAGACTTTCTACTGATATCAACTATTTTTATGGCCTTGTTGTTATAATCTGTGATGATAAGAAGATCAGGAGTAAGGAGAGTCATTCCTGTTATCCAGCAATCAAGTCTGTCTTGTGATGTTTTGATACCGATTTTATCCATTTGTGAACATTGTCTGGACCTCAAAGCAGGAGATAATATCCTACCTTTCAGTGTCCCCAGTGACTTCTCTTTTGCAAGAAGATTTGATATTACCTCATTTGGTTCAAAATTATATTCTTTGACTTCAAATTCTGAGAGCTTAGAAACACTATGTTCATATTCTTTTATCATCTGTTGTGCATGTTTTAGTTCCATGAACAAATCATTGGCTTGTTTGGAAGTATTAAGATTTTTAATGACATCAGAGGATGACTTAACTGATTTAAATACATCTCGACATGCTGTTTCTACAGTCTTCAGATCCTTGACATTGTCTTCTTGGATGACTTTTGCAGCCTTTTTGACTTGTCTTTCCATTTCATCTAGTCTTTGGTTGATTTTTGCTCGGAATTTCAATATGTCTGTCAATGCTTCTGTCAAAGACTTGATCGATAACTCATTCATTTTCTTCATGTCTTGAAGTATTTTGCTTGATCGCTCAGTCATGTCGTTCAAATCCTTCAATACATCTTGATACTCTGTGCCATTGATGGTTTGGCCTGAAATGTCAGGTATATAGTTGACATTGCAAGATGTTACTGTATGCTCAAGTGTTACACAAACACTGCAAAGTAGAGCCTTATGATCATGGCAGTAAAACTTGATCATCTCAATGTTGTGTTTAGGACATGGTTTTGTGAAATTATCTGGTTGCCTTGGAGTTACAGTTGAAAGAGTCTGAGGCATGTTGGTCTTATCAAGTAATGCATGGTGTCTTGACAATGTGTGTCTTCTGTGGACGGTAAAACATGTTTCACACAAATGCTCTGAACAGTTTGTACAATAGCCATGGGCAGGAAGTCTAGGTCCATCTCGATCACATGGCTGACAGTATAGTTTGAGATCTTCATCAGAACCCATAGAAGTTGTGGAAGATGAAAATTGTTTTGTGGCTTTTTTACCTGGGACAGCCATGATTTCCCTGAAACATAAGAAAAACTAAACAAATGAATTACCATGTTTAATGATTTTGAGAGTTTATCATAGTGTGAAATGAATATTTCCTACAGTAAGACAAGTGAGCATGATGTCAAAATAATGTTTCAGTGTTAGGTAAACAGGAAGCACAAGAATTTCAGAAAAGTATTTGTCTTTTTGTAGATACAGTCTTACAAGCTCAGTTTATTGTGGTCAGTCTTTTCATTTAGCAACTACTTACCTGTCAAGTGTTTGTGTTTTATAGATCAGGGCCTCATGCGATCACAAGTGTCAACAATTAAAAACAAAATAAATTTGTTGAAAACATAAATTCCCAAACCATAGCATATGCAAATGAAGTATACATGTGATTTTTCAATAAAATTGATAAGGCAAATCAAAGCTCATTTACTGTGATAGTGTATACGCTACTCTGGCATCAGCAGTTAAAATTGACCTTGAACTTGATCAGCAGTAAAAATTGACATTGAACCTGATAAGCAGTTACAATTGACATTGAGCTTGATCAGCAGTTAAAATTCACATTAAACTTGCAAAATTGACATTGAACTTGATAAGCAGTTAAAATTGACATTGGGCTTGATCATCAGTAAAAATTGTCCTTGAGCTTGATCAGCAGTTAAAATTCACATTGAACTTGATCAGCAGCTTATTGACTTTCGGCTTGATCAGCAGTTAATATTGACCTTGAGCTTGATCAGCAGTAAAAATTGACATTAAAATTAATCAGCAGCCAAAATTGACATTGAACTTGATCAGCAGTTAAAATTGACATTGGGCTTGATCAGCAGTTAAAATTGACATTGGGCTTGATCAGCAGTTAAAATTGACATTGGGCTTGATCAGCAGTTAATATTGACCTTGAGCTTGATCAGCAGTAAAAATTGACCTTGAGCTTGATCAGCAGTTAAAATTCACATTGAACTTGATCAGCAGTTAAAATTGACAATGATCTGCAGTTAAAAATGACATTAAAATTAATCAGCATTTTAAATTGAACTTGATCAGCAGTTAAAATTGTCATTGAACTTGATCAGAAGTTAAAAAATTGTCATTGAAATTGATCAGCTATTAAATGAATTAGTTGTTGTAAAAAGACATAAGTTGTTAATGCACAACAGAAAGCATCACCACTAATACGCCAGGGACAAGTAAAAGAAAACATTTAGGAGTCTGAGCTTAAAATTTCTTGAAAATCAAACATGTATGAATGGATTAAGACCGTTTTGTATGTTATTAAATATTAGGAAGTCATTTTTATGCGCCCAAAAGAATTTCAGCGTATATTGTTGCAAGCACCTGGTTGTCCGTCCCACCGTCCATCCGTCTGTGGGCAGGTTTTCTTGTCCGGTCTATATTTTCTTAAAAAGGTGGAAGGAAATTGAAACCTTTTGGCAAAACTATTAACCATAATGAGACAATGTGCAGAGCGCAGGTTTGACCTTTGTCAGGTTAAGGTCACACTAAGTAATTTTGTTTTAATATCAAAATTTTGTGTCCGCTCAGTATCTTTTGAACCAATAGAAAGAAATTAAAACTTTTTGGCAGAAATATATATTATTTTGAGACGGTGTGCAGAACACAAGTTTGAATTTTGGATTTCCTACAATTGAAATACTGTTGGGAAAAGGCGTAAAATGAAACAAACAAACAAAAACAAAAGCCCCA